CTAGTCTACACTACACATTTTACATTTTAGTCATTTAGCAGACGCTCTTATCCAGAGCGACTTACAGTTAGTGAGTGCATACATTTTTTTTAATTTATTTTTTATACTGGCCCCCCGTGGGAATCGAACCCACAACCCTGGCGTTGCAAACGCCATGCTCTACCAACTGAGCTACATCCCTGCTGGCTGTGCGCCGCCCCATGGGTCTCCCAGTCACGGCCGGCTACGACAGAGCCTGGATTCGAACCAGGATCTCGAGTGGCACAGCTAGCACTGTGATGCAGTGCCTTAGACCACTGTGCCACTCAGGAGACTACACAACAGAATCTAGTCTACACTACACAACAGAATCTACTCTACACAACATAATCTAGTCTAAACTACACATAATGTCATTAGAAGGTTGATATAATAACACAAGATGACAACAACACTTCATTGAACACCTAGCTATTGACATGTAAAATAATTTCCCCAAGTAGCCCTCTATGCAAGTGTGACATCAGAATGTTCAAGACAGTGATGCTTTTTTGCTCTGTCTGCACCGTTCTGGGACCTGATGGCTCCCTCTCAATAAGATCAACTCACGAGACAAGAACATGGAGGTCATTTCTGAGAAAAAACAGTGTCATGCACCCACAGTCTTCATCTGAAGCTATGGATGATGGAGAGTGGTTTGGTGGGGGCCAGGGGACATCTCCCCCCCAAATTCTGAAATTGCATTTTTGTCCCCCCCAGTTTTATCATTGGAATGTGATACAAACAAGGCAACTGTGTGCTTTAGGACCATGCGGACGGGAAGGCTGTTTGGAGTGTTATCCGACCTGATTATCCGACCTGATAATAATAATTAATAAATAAATAATATATAGTACTGTATATATATATATATACAGTACCAGTCAAAAGTTTGGACACACCTACTCATTCCATGGTTTTTATGTATTTTTAGTATTTTCTACATTGTAGAATAATAGTGTAGACATAAATACTCTGAAATAACACATATGGAATCATGTAGTAACCAAAAAATAAATAAAAATAGCCACCCTTTGCCTTGATGACAGCTTTGCACACTTGGCATTCTCTCAACCAGCTTCATGAGGTAGTCACCTGGAATGTATTTCAATTAACAGGGGTGCCTTCTTAAAAGTTAATTTGTGGAATTTCTTTCCTTCTTAATGCATTTGAGCCAATCAGTTGTTGTGACAAGGTGGGGTGCCATATTATGGCAAGAACAGCTCAAATAAGCAAAGAGAAACGACAATCCATCATTACTTTAAGACATGTAGGTCAGTCAATTTGGACAATTGTGCAGTCGCAAAAACCATCTCATGAGGACCGCCACAGGAATAAAAGACCCAGAGTTACCTCTGCTGCAGAGGATAAGTTCATTAGAGTTACCAGCCTTAGAAATTGCAGCCCAAATAAATGCTTCACAGAGTTCAAGTAACAGACCCATCTCAACATCAACTGTTCAGAGGGGACTGTCTGAATCAGGCCTTCATGGTCGAATTTCTGCAAAGAAACCACTACTAAAGGACACCAATAAGAAGAAGAGACCTGCTTGGGCCAAGAAACACGAGCAATGGACATTAGACCGGTGGAAATGTGTCCTTTGGTCTGGAGTCCAAATTGGAGATTTTTGGTTCCAACCGCTGTGCCTTTGTGAGACGAGGTGTGGGTGAACGGATGATCTCCGCATGTGTATTTCCCACCGTAAAGCATGGAGGAGGTGTTATGGTGTGGGGGTGCTTTGCTGGTGACACAGTCTGTGATTTATTTAGAATTCAAGGCACACTTAACCAGCATGGCTCCAACAGCATTCTACATCAATACGCCATCCCATCTGGTTTGGGCTTAGTGGGACTATCATATGTTTTTCAACAGGACAATGACCCAACACACCTACAGGCTGTGTAAGGGCTATTTTACCAAGAAGGAGAGTGATTGAGTGCTGCATCAGATGACCTGGCCTCTACAATCCCCCGACCTCAACACCAATTTTGGGATGAGTCGGACCGCAGAGTGAAGGAAAAGCAGCCAACAAGTGCTCAGCATATGTGGGAACTCCTTCAAGACTGTTGGAAAAGCATTCCAGGTGAACCAGGTTGAGGGAATGCGAAAAGTGTGCAAAGCTGTCATCAAGGCAAAGGGTGGCTATTTGAAGAAATTCAAATATAAAATATATTTTGATTTGTTTAACACTTGTTTACTACATGATTCCATATGTGTTATTTCATAGTTTTGATGTCTTCACTATTATTATTTTACAATGTAAAAATAAAGAAAAACCTTTGAATGAGTAGGTGTGTCCAAATTTTTGACAAGTAGTGTACAGTCGTGGTCAAAAGTTTTGAGAATGACACAAATACTAATTTTCACAAAGTCTGCTGCCTCAGTTTAGATGATGGCAATTTGCATATACTCCAGAATGTCATGAAGAGTGATCAGATCAATTGCAATTAATTGCAAAGTCCCTCTTTGCCATGAAAATGAACTTAATCCCAAAAAAACATTTCCACTGAATTTCAGCCCTGCCACAAAAGGACCAGCTGCCATCATGTCAGTGATTCTCTCGTTAACACAGGTGAGAGTGTTGACGAGGACAAGGCTGGAGATCACTCTGTCATGCTGATTGAGTTAGAATAACAGACTGGAAGCTTTAAAAGAAAGGAGGTGCTTGAAATCATTGTTCTTCCTCTATTAACCATGGTTACCTGCAAGGAAACACGTGCCGTCATCATTGCTTTGCACAAAAAGGGCTTCACAGGCAAGGATATTGCTGCTAGTAAGATTGCACCTAAATCAACCATTTAAGGAGAGAGGTTTAATTGTTGTGAAGAAGGCGTCAGGGCGCCCAAGAAAGTCCAGCAAGCGCCAGGACCGTCTCCTAAAGTTGATTCAGCTTCGGGATCGGGGCACCACCAGTGCAGAGTTTGCTCAGGAATGGCAGCAGGCAGTTGTGAGTGCATCTGCACGCACAGTGAGGCGAGACATTTGGAGGATGGTCTGGTGTCAAGAAGGGCAACAAAGAAGCCACTTCTCTCCAGGAAAAACATCAGGGACAGACTGATATTTGGCAAAAGGTACAGGGATTGGACTGCTGAGGACTGGGGTAAAGTCATTTTCTCTGAATCCCCTTTCCGATTGTTTGGGGCATCCGGGAAAACACCTTGTCCGGAGAAGACAAGGTGAGCGCTACCATCAGTCCTGTGTCATGCCAACAGTAAAGCATCCTGAGACCATTCATGTGTGGGGTTGCTTCTCAGCCAAGGGAATGGGCTCACTCACAATTTTGCCTAAGAACACAGCCATGAATAAAGAATGGTACCAACATATCCTCCGAGAGCAACTTCTCCCAACCATCCAAGAACAGTTTGGTGATGACCAATGCCTTTTCCAGCATGATGGAGCACCTTGCCATAAGGCAAAAGTGATAACTAAGTGGCTCAGGGAACAAAACATCAACATTTTGGGTCCATGGCCAGGAAACTCCCCAGACCTTAATCCCATTGAGAACTTGTGGTCGATCCTCAAGAGGCGGGTGGACAAACAAAACCCCACAAATTCTGACAATCTCCAAGCATTGATTATGCAAGAATGGGCTGCCATCAGTCAGGATGTGGCCCAGAAGTTAATTGACAGCATGCCAGGGCGGATTGCAGAGGTCTTGAAAAAGAAGGGTCAACACTGCAATTATTGACTCTTTGCATAAACTTAATGTAATTGTCAATAAAAGCCTTTGACACTTATGGAATGCTTGTAATTATACTTCAGTATACCATAGTAACATCTGAAAAATATCTCATAACACTGAAGCAGCGAACTTTGTGAAGACCAATACTTGTGTCATTCTCAAAACTTTTGACCACAACTGTATATGTCCCCGCCCACTTCTAAAACCAAAGTTGCGCCCCTGGTGGGGGAATACAGTACTTCACTCTTTTGCAACTAGGGATAAATTGCCTATGGGAGTCTCGGTAACAAGTGTTCTACTTTCCCAATAGCCTATCAGAGAGGAGGTTAACATTTTCATACAAGTTATTGCGGAGTGCTGACTTTTGGAGGACTACATGGTTTTTCACTTGGCTAGAGAATATGTACATATTTGTTATCTAGGTCTACAGACTCCTCTGGTTGGTAAAAGTGGAGAGCAAACAAATTGCGGCAATTATGAAGGCAAGCCGTGCAGAAAATCTTTTGACAATAATGCAATTTCCTTTTCCATTTTTAGAATAGATGGGACGACCCTAAATTAACAATAAGATGGAGAGGATGTAGACTGGGCTACAGTGGGAAATAACATATTTTATTCATGGAACAGTTCGGCCTAACATTTAATTGAACTGGTGCAAAACATACTGAGCATCCGATATGCTGGATATTGGCTACCTAAGTATGAGTCAAAAACGGTGCCATTGCCTACCCCTAGTTGGTTTGTCATAAAAAAACATGGTTTGGGCCTCAAAATAATATAGACTTGATTACCAGCTAGGACAAAAACAAAACGAATCTATAAAAGCGTGCAAGATAATTTCATTTTCAATGATCTACTCTTAACGTTACACAACCACACTATGGGATACATACTGTACATAGGCTACACAGTACATGTTCATAGACTTCTGAAAATATTGCTTGCAATAATTGTACTAAGGCGCCCTCAAGTGGATAAGACTCTTGCCAGAAAACCATAGGCTACCTTCATCTCATAATGTCCATATAAGTCCAGGTGGAATACATACATTTTGTCATTATACTTTTTTTTGATAATATGCTCAATGCATAACGTTATTGTAACGTTATATAATTTATCATGGCCCTATTGTCCACTAAATCCATTATATCTATAAACTCAATAGGTGGCGGTATTTCCTGTATAAAGGTATATTCTCCTGAATTGAACTCAGAGAATAAGAAAAATGGCGAAGGTGAAGAGGAAATTGACCTAAAAAGTATATATTTTAGGCTACAATGTCGTTTGTCCTTCACTTCAAATGACGGGTGTTACATTGTTTCTCATTTTCCTCCTAAACTTAGGCCTACTTACTTTTGCCGATGTTGCTCGTAGAAGTGGCGTTTGGCAAACTGTCAGGAAGTCCAACTGCTCTGCAGTCACTGATGTTGATTTCGAGTCGTTTAGGGAAATATTTCATCGGAGTTATAAACTCCACAGCGATTATTATCATCGGCGCAGATCTTATTTTAAGGTAGGCCTGTCGATGTTTCAGCTTTTTCGTATTTCTATTAGCAGCTGTGCGCGTACACTCTGTCAGAAGAGAGAGACTAAGGTGATTTGCGTAGGAAGAGGGAAGGATATAGGTTTATAAAAGTTTTGAAATATATGTTTGTCAAGTAAGAAATAAATGAAGTGGGGGGTAAAACTATTGTTCTACCTTCTGGAAATGCCATGAGAGTTAGCCTACAGTGACATGTACAGTGACATTGTGGTCTGTTGCAGAATTCCATCAAAAGGCATGCATACCTGAACTCATTCTCAACAGACAAAGACTCCGCAAAATATGGCATTAACCAGTTCTCGGATTTAGCAATAAATGAATTCAGAGGTAATAATACGCAAAACAATTAATGTATTTGTTTCCCAGTGATCAAAACTGATTGACTGGGTTAGTATTTATTATTAAGTTGATATTTAAACCAAAATAAACATGGAGGCTAACCAAACACCACATTAACTGTAAGACGATGGCTATAGCCAACTTGAACACTGACATGTAATTGGTTTTTCTCTACAGAACTGTATTTGACTGCCACAGCTGAAACAGTCCCTCCCTACTCAGGACTTAAGACAGAGGGACTGCCTGCCAAGTTTGACTGGAGGGACAAGACTGCAGTCGGCCCAGTACAGAATCAACAAGCAGTAAGAGCTTCCTTTTTCCTTAAGAAATCAACATACTTAACTTTTCGAGGTGACACACTTCCTTATTGAAGTTGACTTTGAACTCTGTCTAGAGGTTATCGCCTCATAGAAGTTAAAAAACTCACTTTGTATGAACTTCTATGAGGAAAAAACTCTAGACAATCATGTATGTAGGTGTTATGTTGTGTCACCTTAACCTTATCCCGTCTGGTATGAGACTTACCACAGTAACTTTGCATTTTTGTTCAACATTTCCACTACAGTCAGTAGATGGCAGTGGAGAACCATGTTATAGTCTTACTATCTATCGCATCACACATGGACAGTGTTTTCATAATTAGAAATCCACATACTGCATAAATTCCACACATTCCACATCAAATCACATATTGCTGACATATCTCTATTTGTTATAAAGTATATTAACAATTTTATTTGGATATTTTGATTTTCATGTAAATGTCTCTCCTATAATGTTAAATGCCGATGCTTGATACCCAGTATCTCTCATTGCAGTGTGGAGGTTGCTGGGCGTTCAGTGTTGTGGGCGCCATAGAGTCAGTCTATTCCAAAGCAGGCCAGCCATTGAAACAGCTCAGTGTGCAACAAGTCATTGACTGTTCCTACAAGAACCAGGGCTGCAATGGAGGCTCCATTACAAGGGCCTTGAGCTGGCTGAAACAGGTCCAGATATGTTTTTCTGAGGCCTTTTAAGCATTTCCTGTAATATCAAATGTTTGTCATTGATTATTTAGAAGTGATGGTGATTTCTACAGTTAGATGACTACTGTATACATTCTAATCAACAAGATTATTCAACATGAAATGATTTATACATGTAGCATACATATGCATTGAATTGGCTTCTCCCTGTTCTTTTCTTTCAGACTAGGGTTAAGTTGGTGAAACAGTCAGAATACCCATATAAGGCAGAGACTGGGATTTGCCATTTATTTTCTCAGTCACATGATGGTGTTTTGGTGAAGGACTTTGCTGCCCATGATTTCAGGTATAAGAGGGTCAACACCTTTTTTATAATTTTTTATAACATTTTACATTTTAGTCATTTAGCAGACGCTCTTATCCAGAGCGACTTACAGTTAGTGAGTGCATACATTATTTTTATTTTTTCATACTGGCCCCTCGTGGGAATCGAACCCACAACCCTGGCGTTGCAAACGCCATGCTCTACCAACTGAGCTACATCCCTGCCGGCCATTCCCTCCCCTACGCTGGACGACGCTGGGCCAATTGTGCGCCGCCCCATGGGTCTCAAAGTCATATATGACTGTGACTTGGCATATAGCACAGTCGTATAGCTAAGCAATAAGGCCCGAGGAGGTGTGATATATGGCCAATATACCACGCCTAAGAGCTGTTACGCACGACGCAATGCGGAGTGCCTGGACACAGCCCTTAGCCGTGGTATATTGGCCATATATCACAAACCCCTGAGGTGCCTTATTACTATTATAAACTGGTTACCAACATAATTAGAGCAGTACAAATAAATGTTTTGTCATACCCATGGTATACGGTCTGATATACCACAGCTGTCAGCCGATCAGCATTCAGGTCTCAAACGACCCAGTTTATAATTACATATTAACAAGACCGTCTGCACAAGTTAAGTACAAATACTACAATGTTCTTTCGGAAATGTGTAACGATACAGCGGGGACTCTTTTACAGTATATTCCCAAGTTGACGGAGGCAGGTAGCCAAACGTTGTAAGAGCATTGGGCCAGTAACCGAAAGGTCGCTGGTTCGAATCCCCAAGCCGTCTAGGTGAAAGATCTGTCTGTGCCCTTGAGCAAGGCACTTAACCGTAATTGCTCCTGTAAGTCGCTCTGGATAAGAGCATCTGCTAAAATGTAAGTGCATTGGTACTATTCTGAGCAGGAGTAGAATGTTTTCATGCACCAAAGGTTCAGAGGGTTGAGATTCAGACTCAATATCACTGTTTACCAGACTAACATGCTGTAGACAGAGACGGGTCATTAACACAGAGGTTCCCGCTGCCATGTGTCCCCGACACTCATACCCTGTTGTTTATTCAGACATCTACTAACTTATTCCTGTGGTTACAGTGCATTGTAGGTGAAATCACTGCTGACTCAAAACAACATGTGATGTTGATGGTCACTGAATAGGGACATTCTTATTTACACACGTACACTGCTGAAGGTCTTTCACTGTGCTGTTGTTGTTCCATGCATCTTTAACCTTGGTGAACCTTCTGGTAAACCTCTTTAACCTGGGTTTGGACTAGCTTTTTTTGTTACTCCTCTTTTGTTTTTACAGCTATGTTAATGGTCTTATAGCTTAGCGTTGCTCCCTTCTCCCTCATACTTCCCGACCAGGAAGAACTCTGAGCTCTGGTTAAAGGTGTTTGTCGTAGTCAAATCAAATCAAATCAAATTTTATTGGTCACATGCGCCGAATACAACAGGTGCAGACATCACAGTGAAATGCTTACTTACAGCCCCTAACCAACAGTGCATTTATTTTAAACAAAAAAAGTAAGAATAAAACAACAACAAAAAAAGTGTTGAGAAAAAAAGAGCAGAAGTAAATAAAGTGACAGTAGGGAGGCTATATATACAGTAAAATAAAGTGACAGTAGGGAGGCTATATATACAGGGGGGTACCGTTGCAGAGTCAGTGTGCGGGGGCACCGGCTAGTTGAGGTAATATGTACATGTGGGTAGAGTTAAAGTGACTATGCATAAATACTTAACAGAGTAGCAGCAGCGTAGAAAGGATGGGGTGGGGGGGACAGTGCAAATAGTCCGGGTAGCCATGATTAGCTGTTCAGGAGTCTTATGGCTTGGGGGTAGAAGCTGTTGAGAAGTCTTTTGGACCTAGACTTGGCACTCCGGTACCGCTTGCCGTGCGGTAGCAGAGAGAACAGTCTATGACTAGGGTGGCTGGAGTCTTTGACAATTTTGAGGGCCTTCCTCTGACACCGCCTGGTATAGAGGTCCTGGATGGTAGGGAGCTTTGCCCCAGTGATGTACTGGGCCGTACGCACTACCCTCTGTAGTGCCTTGCGGTCAGAGGCCAAGCAGTTGCCATACCAGGCGGTGATGCAACCAGTCAGGATGCTCTCGATGGTGCAGCTGTAGAATTTTTTGAGGATCTGAGGACCCATGCCAAATCTTTTTAGTCTCCTGAGGGGGAATAGGCTTTGTCGTGCCCTCTTCACGACTGTCTTGGTGTGTTTGGACCATGATAGTTCGTTGGTGATGTGGACACCAAGGAACTTGAAGCTCTCAACCTGTTCCACTACAGCCCCGTCGATGAGAATGGGGGCGTGCTCAGTCCTCTTTTTTTTCCTGTAGTCCACAATCATCTCCTTTGTCTTGGTCACGTTGAGGGAGAGGTTGTTGTCCTGGCACCACACGGCCAGATCTCTGACCTCCTCCCTATAGGCTGTCTCATCGTTGTCAGTGATCAGGCCTACCACTGTTGTGTCGTCGGCAAACTTAATGATGGTGTTGGAGTCGTGCCTGGCCATGCAGTCATGGGTGAACAGAGAGTACAGGAGGGGACTGAGCACGCACCCCTGAGGGGCCCCCGTGTTGAGGATCAGTGTGGCAGATGTGTTGTTACCTACCCTTACCACCTGGGGGCGGCCCGTCAGGAAGTCCAGGATCCAGTTGCAGAGGGAGGTGTTCAGTCCCAGGATCCTTAGCTTAGTGATGAGCTTAGAGGGCACTATGGTGTTGAATGCTGAGCTGTAGTCAATGAATAGCATTCTCACGTAGGTGTTCCTCTTGTCCAGGTGGGAAAGGGCAGTGTGGAGTGCGATAGAGATTGCATCATCTGTGGATCTGTTGGGGCGGTATGCAAATTGGAGTGGGTCTAGGGTTTCTGGGATTATGCTGTTGATGTGAGCCATGACCAGTCTTTCAAAGCACTTCATGGCTACAGACGTCAGTGCTACGGGTCGGTAGTCATTTAGGCAGGTTATCTTAGAGTTCTTGGGCACGGGGACTATGGTGGTCTGCTTGAAACATGTTGGTATTACAGACTCAGTCAGGGACATGTTGAAAATGTCAGTGAAGACACTTGCCAGTTGGTCAGCACATGCTCGGAGTACACGTCCTGGTAATCCGTCTGGCCCTGCGGCCTTGTGAATGTTGACCTGCTTAAAAGTCTTACTCACATCGGCTACGGAGAGCGTGATCACATAGTCATCCGGAACAGCTGGTGCTCTCATGCATGCTTCAGTGTTGCTTGCCTCGAAGCGAGCATAGAAGTGGTTTAGCTCGTCTGGTAGGCTTGTGTCACTGGGCAGCTCGCGGCTGTGCTTCCCTTTGTAGTCTGTAATAGTTTTCAAGCCCTGCCACATCCGACGAGCGTCAGAGCCAGTGTAGTATGATTCAATCTTAGACCTGTATTGACTCTTTGCCTGTTTGATGGTTCGTCGGAGGTCATAGCGGGATTTCTTATAAGCGTCCGGGTTAGAGTCCCGTTCCTTGAAAGCGGCAGCTCTACCCTTTAGCTCAGTGCGGATGTTTCCTGTAATCCATGGCTTCTGGTTGGGGTATGTACGTACGGTCACTGTGGGGACGACATCATCGATGCACTTATTGATGAAGCCAGTGACTGATGTGGTGTACTCCTCAATGCTGTCTGAAGAATCCCGGAACATGTTCCAGTCTGTGCTAGCAAAACAGTCCTGTAGCTTAGCATCTGCGTCATCTGACCACTTTTTTATTAACCGAATCACTGGTGCTTCCTGCTTCAGTTTTTGCTTATAAGCAGGAATCAGGAGGATAGAGTTATGGTCAGATTTGCCAAATGGAGGGCGAGGGAGAGCTTTGTATGCGTCTCTGTGTGTGGAGTAAAGGTGGTCTAGAGTTGTTTTCCCTCTGGTTGCACATTTAACATGCTGGTAGAAATTAGGGAGAACGGATTTAAGTTTCCCTGCATTAAAGTCCCCGGCCACTAGGAGCGCTGCATCTGGATGAGCGTTTTCCTGTTGATTAATGGCCTTGTACAACTCATTCAGTGCAATCTTAATGCCAGCATTGGTTTGTGGTGGTAAATAGACAGCTATGAAAAATATAGATGAAAACTCTCTTGGTAAATAGTGTGGTCTACAGCTTATCATAAGATACTCTACCTCAGGCGAGCAAAACCTCGAGACTTCCTTAGTATTTGATTTTGTGCACCAGCTGTTGTTTACAAATATACAGAGACCGCCACCCCTTGTCTTACCAGAGTCAGACGTTCTGTCCTGCCGATGTAGCGTATAGCCTGCTAGCTGAATGTTATCATTGTTGTCGTTCAGCCACGACTCCGTGAAACATAAGATATTACAGTTTTTAATGTCCCGTTGGTAGGATAACCGTAATCTTAAATCAGAACAGCGCCGGAGAAGATGGCTGCCGTTTTACAGCCCTCTAACCAATTGTACTATTATGTGTGTTTTTCCGCGTTATTTGTAATTTATTTTGTACATAATGTTTCTGCCATCGTCTCTTATAACCAAAAAGAGCTTCTGGATATCAGGACAGCGATTACTCACCTCGCATTGGACGAAGATTTTTTCTTCAACGAGGCGGTCGCGAAGGATATCCTACAGACACCCGACAAGGCCCAGATCCCCGTCATTCGCGTGAGGAAGAGACGGAGATATCGCGGACGCAGATCCGGGTGCCTTGTAAGGATCCGACGGCGAGCGAGTAAACTGCCTCTCCCATCAATCCTATTAGCCAACGTTCAATCTTTTGAGAATAAAATTGACGATTTAAGATTACGGTTATCCTACCAACGGGACATTAAAAACTGTAATATCTTATGTTTCACGGAGTCTGGTTACGTTGTCAGAAAAAAGGGTCCAAGGTCAGATAGTGTTTTGATCCCTGACTTATTATATAATAATGGATTATGTATCAACCTTCTACTGTGTGGGTATAGTAATGATGCATCAATGAGGCTAAGTGGTTTAATGTGTCAACGTTCACAGTTTTTGTCTCATTTTGGCTGGGATTCAATCCGTTCGCGCTTAGTCCACAATGCACATTTCAAAGGAAATGTTCCCCTGTTTGCAAAGACCACATTCACGGTAAACACTGCACGTCTGCTCAATAGGAAATGACCTTTACATGGTGCATTGTCCAAGTCCACCATCGGATTGAATCCTGGCCGGTCTCTTTTTAACCCAGATGTCAACCACAAATCAACAAAAGGTTTTTAAATTACATTTGGACAATTAATTCAATTAAACATCAACCAAAAGTGGATGTTGATCTTATGTCTTTGCCCGGTGGGGTGTCTGTGGTGTTTTCTCTAGTGGGTGTGAGGAGGCTATGATGGGCAGGTTGGTGGAGTGGGGACCCCTGGCTGTGACTGTGGATGCCATCAGTTGGCAGGACTATCTGGGTGGCATCATGCAGCACCACTGCTCCTGCCACCATGCCAACCACGCTGTGCTGGTCACTGGTTACGACACCACAGGTATTCCATTCACTCACTAAATATGCATTAATCTGGGCACCCACAGACACACACTCAGACACACACACACACACACACACACACACACACACACACACAAATAAACAAAGTAAAACACACAAGACGCACACAAACAAGACACACTCAGAGACAGTTTGTAGTTGATGTGAATTCTGTCATTATTTTGACATTTTATAACATTTTTGATATCATGCCAATTTCATATGCATGGAATACTTGTTTACAGCAGTGTTCATAGTGTGTGACTGAACATTCTAAACATTGTACCCTCTGTTTCAGGTGAGGTGCCATACTGGATAGTACAAAACTCATGGGGAACATCATGGGGTAACGAAGGTTATGTTTACATTAAAATGGGAGGCAATGTTTGTGGTGAGTTTGAATTTATTTACACCTATAGTACACAGTTTACACTGCCTGAAGCAACATTGTCCTGGAATTTGCTTAAGCATAATGTCAATACAATGTTTTATAGTCTAAGAGCTCTTTTCATTTAAAGGTCCAATGCAGCTGTTTTTATCTCAATATCAAATCATTTCTGGAGAACAATTAACTACCTTACTGTGATTGTTTTCAATTAAAATGGTCAAAAAGAAACAAAAAGCTTCTTAGCAAAGAGCAATTTCTCAGGGACACACTTTTCACGCCACTTCGATAAAAAGTGAATTTTGTAGCAGGATAGGGGAGCATTTTCACTAACCCTAACCCTTTTCCTAACCTTAACTTCAGTCTCCTAACCTGCTACGTTAATGCTCCTAACCTGCTACGTTAATGCTCCTAACCTGCTACGTTAATTATCCTAACCTGCTACGTTAATTCTCCAAACCTGCTTCGTTAACTCTCCTAACCTGCCAAGAAAAATACACTTTGGTATTGAAGTGGCATGAAAAGAGTGTTTCCCCAATTTCTCAAGCAATAATTTTGTTTGAGAACTGTCTGGTATGGTCTCAGTGGGGACAGGAACACTGAAAATGAGCTGTTGTTGGCAGAGAGGTTTGGAACTCTCTTTCTTATTGGTCTATTAACTAATTTAATGCCTGGTGATGTCACCAGGCAGGCCAAAACTCCATCCCACCAAAACAGGCTGAAAGTTCTGTCTGTCTTTTCAAACAGCTCTTACACTAAAAGAGCATTATCATAATTTTCACAGTATTATTCCAACCTCATAGTGTAAAAATAAATAAATAAATATAGATAAACACAGGAAAATCACGTTTTTGACTGCACTGGGCCTTTAAAATCTAAAACAATAGCGTTTCATATGTAAGAATACCCTAAACATATTTCCTGGATGATATTGACTACAACAACTAAGCAGAGATTCAATCAAAGCTGCATCCACATTCTGCAGACGGTATGATCTAATTGTGAGTTGATGGAAAGAGAAGTGTTTAAATACCATTTATAGACGCACCGAGCCATGAACAGTTGGCAAATCATGTTAATATACCTGGTGTAAACACACCTTGATTCCCTGTCGGTCTGAACCTCTTGGGCTTTTCTTCTGCATTTGTTCATGACAAATTTACTTAGAGACCCGTCTGTAGTGTGAAGGACTCGTAGCTCAGGTGTATGGCGCTCCCCCAGTAAGCACGTTGGTGGTTCGAATCCATACAGAGCTCCTGAGTGTGGTGGTATTGACACAGATGGAAAGTTGGCCCTGTGACATTTGATGGGCAGAGAGTATCTGGCCTGTGCCATGATCAGGTTTGAACCTACAACCTCGTGCATATGGGGTGAGATTCTTACACCAGAGCCACAGACTCCTTCACACTGCTAGCACTACCCAGCATATGTTTGACATTGAGAGTTCCTGCAACGTACACAGACGGTCACAAGGTGATGTTTTAACACACAACCTCTTGCATGACAGGCAGGGATTGAGCCACAGTCTCCTTCACACTGTAGACTGTGTGTGATGGGCTCATCTTAATCAGTCTTTATTGGAGGAATTCGTTGTTTTTTTTGCAGTGAGTGACTATCAATGGTTTGTGCATATTTGCTGTGGAAATGACTTGTCAATCATTTCAAAGTTATGTTTCTATGTCAAATCTATCCTATCCTTTCTGTAGGTATTGCAGACTCTGTGACTGCTGTCTTCCTGTGATTGTGTGAGCCATGGATGACATTGATGTTTTTTCTGAAGGGATTCATTCATGTGTTCACCACTGCCAAATTCTCATTCAACTCTTGAAGGAATTATTTTCAAGACGATTCCCATGGAGGTCAGAAGTCATTTCCTGGCAACCTTTTCAATACTGTATTTTTATTGAGACAGATATATTTTATATTCTTCTGATACAATAAAATATATTTCTTTGCAGTCCTGTGATCAATTATATGTTGAATAAGGTCTACAGGTAATTTTTCTGACATCACATAAAAACACCCAATGCACCAATATCGAAGTACTGTACAAAAACATATTACTTTAAAAAAGATTAACAATAGGCTTCTTTAGGGTAGCCATTCAGAATAACCCAAAGTAGATGGGTCAGTTCATGATTATCATTCATTAGGCTATGTACAGAGATCAAATTCTTTCCTACTTTAAATACAGCACAATATTATATAAACAATATATACTTTATAAACATGAAATAATTATATAAACAATATATACATGCAGTCAGCTAATGTGGTTATGATATACTATGTTACTTGTCCCATTATAAATAAATGCTATATATTTTATATATATATATTATATGATGCACCCTGGGCCTAGTGTGTGTCTACATAGTCTAAAGTGGCTTCCTTTCCTTGTCACCTTTCCTCCATCTGAACGGACCACTAGACAGTTAACAGGTTCTAGTCTGAATCCTCACTACTGCAGTAGGAGCTGTCACAGTACTCTGCAGTGAACAGGAAGGTGTGCTTGTTGGGGTCCAGCTTGGGCACCCAGTGGCGAGGTATCAAAAACGTGGCCAGGTTGAAGAGATCCACAAAGACTTTGTAGCGATCACTGTGTGAGAGAGAAGACCAAACACCTACTTAGCTCCTTGAAGGGGTAGAAGAGCATGTGCTTGACAGTAACTCTGGATTGCTTTGGATCCGGTTAATTTCACTAGCTAATCATAGATGACATACCTGACAGTAGAGCGCAGGTAGTGGTAGCCAGAGGAGCCTCCAGTGCCTGCTTTGCTACCAATCATTCTGTGCACCATGCACACGTGGTTGTCTGAGACACAGGAGAAATATTGCACTTGTCATTTCAACTGTTTCAGATCAATGATACTCTAGACAGTTGAAAGCATGTTATCTAGTACGAAATACAAATGGTGTAAGGGACACCTGTAGATGTAAACAATGATGAAGTGAACTGTTCTTTACATACGATATGTCTTTGGATGTAACTTACATCTCCATTTTGTCATGTGGGTATCAATGTCCATCAGGTTGGACAGGAGTTGGAAGGGGACCTGGAACCTGGGCTCCTCCCTAAAAATAACAGAACAATCCACAATGTAATAATGACATCTCAAATGGTGACCAAACATAAGCCTGTCTAAGCTGTAAGAAACCCTCCTTACCTGTAGAAGTAAATCATCAGAGCTCCTTGGAGAGCCTTGTAGGAGATCCGTCTCTCACCTGGTCAAACAACAGGAAGTGAGATGGTTTCTTAGACCTGGGATCTGTAGTTTTACACTAATTATGGATAGTGAATTGTTGAGGCAGTTGGTGTTAGATGCTCAGCCTGGATGCAGGTACTCACCTTTGCTCAAAAGATGCTCATGTCTTTTGATGTCAAACAGAGAAGTGAAGAGCTCTTTTTGCTTTGTCAGCTCTTCCATCATCTCCTCCTTCTCTTCAGAGTCTGGCATTTTCTGCCAAAAGGACAAATAAGATCATAGCTTTTGGTCAGATTATTTTATATTTAAGTAACCTTATAAATAATGTTGTGGCAAGTTTTTTGTACTAGATTATTTTAAAAGAGCCCATACCGCGATTTTCTTTTTTTCAATACACAATCCTTCAAAGATGTTGGCTTCCAGTTTTTTCCAAAAGTTGAACCCATCCCCGTCAAGCCCTGGGGTCCTTTCCAGCCATTTCTGAATAGAACAACAGACAGTATTACTCAATTCTGCTATGATATCAAGTATTCAAACAGTATCTCTTTCATATGTTTCAGTAATTTTTCAGTAGTGCATCTCACACACCTCCACCAATTTCAGCAGACAAGGCTCCTTCTCAGAACTGAGCAGCATCTCACTCTCATGTCCTTTGAAGTTGTCCCTGTAGTGACGCCTGTTGTAGGGGACCCTCAGGTTGTCAGGGACCCCAATCTTGTTCTCCAACAGACGGAACTGGAGACTTTGGAACCCGGAGGCAGGGGACAGGTACTCTCTACAACACACAAGAGTAATGAGTGTTACAATTGTAAAGAGGGTATCATTTTATGAGGTTTACAAAGGTTTATACAAGCTAAATGTTATCTATGGGGCATACCTGAATTCATAGAAGTCCAAGGCCGTCATTGTCTCGAGCACGGAGAACTGGTCGACCAGCAGCTTGAAGATCATAACGATCCTATGTATGCGGGTGTTGACCTTCAGCATGTTGCGTTCATCACGAACCTGGTGAAACATGACCATTTTAAAGATTAGTTCTATAACTTTTTGTCCTCTAGATGTGCTGCAATTTGATCATATTGGACAGAAAGAAGCACACCTCTTCACACCCACAAACAAAGGTTTAGGTTATTGACATTGCTTATATTCCATGGTTTAATGAGGTAAAACATTGACTCGTATTGTATTTGAATCAAGCCACAATTTAATGTACACAATAGCAACTTTAAATTCTAGAATATACAATACCGGTCAAAAGTTTGGACACACCTACTCATTCAAGGGTTTTAATTTTTACAATTTTTTACATTGTAGAATAATAGTGAAGATATCAAAACTATGAAATAACACATATGGAATCATGTAGTAACCAAAGAAGTGTTAAACAAATCAAAATATATTTTATATTTGAGATTCTTCAAATAGCCACCCTTTGCCTTGATGACAGCTTTGCACACTCTTGGCATTCTCTCAACCAGCTTCACCTGGAGTGCTTTTCCAACAGTCTTGAAGGAGTTCCCACATATGCTGAGCACTTGTTGGCTGCTTTTCCTTCACTCTGCTGTCCGACTCATCCCAAACCATCTCAATTGGGTTGAGGTCAGGGGATTGTGGAGGCCAGGTCATCTGATGCAGCACTCCATCACTCTCCTTCTTGGTAAAATAGCCCTTACACAGCATGGAGGTGTGTTGGGTCATTGTCTTGTTGAAAAACAAATGATAGTCCCACTAAGCCCAAACCAGATGGGATGGTGTATCGCTACAGAATGATGTGGGGCGGCGCACAATTGGCCCAGCGTCGTCCAGGGTAGGGGAGGGAATGGCCGGCAGGGATGTAGCTCAGTTGGTAGAGCATGGCGTTTGCAACGCCAGGGTTGTGGGTTGGATTCCCACGGGGGGCCAGTATGAAAAAATATATATATATAATGTATGCACTCACTAACTGTAAGTCACTCTGGATAAGAGTGTCTGCTAAATGACTAAAATGTAAATGTATGTGGTAGCCATGCTGGTTAAGTGTGCCTTGAATTCTAAATAAATCACAGACAGTGTCACCAGCAAAGCACCATAACACCTCCTCCTCCATGCTTTACGGTGGGAACTACACATGCGGAGATCATCCGTTCACCCACATCAAGTCTCACAAAGCCACGGCGGTTTGAACAAAACATTTCCAATTTGGACAGCAGACCAAAGGACACATTTCCACCGGTCTAATGTCCATTGCTCGTGTTTCTTGGCCCAAGCAGGTGTCTTCTTCTTATTAGTGTCCTTTAGTAGTGGTTTCTTTGCAGAAATTCGACCATGAAGGCCTGATTCACACAGTCTCCTCTGAACAGTTGATGTTGAGATGTGTCTGTTACTTGAACTCTGTGAAGCATTTATTTAGGCTGGTAACTCTAATGAACTTATCCTCTGCAGCAGAGGTAACTCTGGGTCTTCCATTCCTGTGGCGGTCGTCATGAGAGCCAGTTTCATCATAGCGCTTAATGGTTTTTGTGACTGCACTTGAAGAAACTTCCAAGTTCTTGAGATTTTCCGTATTGACTGACCTTCATGTTTTAAAGTAATGATGGACTGTCGTTTCTCTTTGCTTATTTGAGCTGTTCTTGCCATAATATGGACTTGGTCTTTTACCAAATAGGGCTATCTTCTGTATACCCCTCCTACCTTGTCACAACACAACTGATTGGCTCAAACGCAATAAGAAGGAAAGAAATTCCACAAATTAACTTTTAAGAAGGCACACCTGTTAATTGAAATACATTCCAGGTGACTACCTCATGAAGCTGGTTGAGAGAATGCCAAGAGTGTGCAAAGTTGTAATCAAGGCAAAGGGTGGCTATTTGAAGAATCTCAAATATAAAATATATTTTGATTTGTTTAACACTTTTTTGGTTACTACATGATTCCATATGTGTTATTTCATAGTTTTGATGTCTTCACTATTATTCTACAATGTAAAGAATAGTAAAAATAAAGAAAAACCCTTGAATGAGTAGGTGTGTCCAAACTTTTGACTGGTAGTGTACCTTTAATAAAAATAAGAATAAACACATTGCTGGGATTGAAATCAACCAATTTTCTAACTTTTATTACACAAATAAAGCTTTTGGCAGGGTACTCTTGCTTTCTGAGGTACTTACATGTCCACTGATGAAAATCTCTCGCACTGAATCCAGTTCCCATAGAATCTGCTTGAACCAGAGTTCATATGCTGAAATAAAATAATAAAAATGCAATTAATCATAATGTCCCACCTTTGCAATGCAATGACATTTATAATTTGTTGATGGCAAGTTGATAGTGAATTCCTATTCAAATCATCCAAAAGTAGGTGCAACCACAATGAAAGGGTTAGATGTATTTCTTGAATTGACTGGATTTCAAACAGAACATAAGGGCATGCATGCATACTATGACTACAATTCCTCTATTGATTCTCAAATCTTGATGATATTTGACCACAAACATATACTTTACCTTGATGGGTGACAATGAAAAGATGTTCATCGTGGATCTTGTTCCCTTTCAGTTCACTCTGTAGAACTTGGGCCGTCACAACCTTGTCAAGCTATAATGGAACAAAACTAATAACATTTAGTACTACAGCTAACACAAATTAAAATTGTACTTCCAGTATCCCTTATGTTAGCCTATAAGGGATGGAGCATATAGGCTAAGGAATAAGCTTCCATCTGCAGAAGACAAGATACTATGTCAGAAACCTTGAAGTTAGGTGAAGCTAGTTAGATGAAGATAGAGAATTCTTTACCTGAAGGTAGTCACCATAGATGATACCACCTTTGCTGGCCTTGTTAATTCCTTCTTGAGAGTCATCTGCCTCCTCCTCTTTCAGATGCAGCTTGCTCTTGAATAACCTGGGGAATGACAATACACATTTATAGGCATTGATTAGCTAATGTCATACAATTCATAATAATGATAAAGATAATTTATTTAGCATCCAGCTCAATTATATGATGTCTTTGAAATGTCACAAACATTTGAATAAAAACAGAATTTGAAATGCAATAATGATCGCATACAAGTGCTTTTTCTCGAAGTAAGGACATCCACCACTCATTGTTATCCAAATGATCCAAAATGAAAGCAAAGATTTTATCCTATTCCGTTGGTGTAATAAAACTATCTCTGTGAAAACCCAGGTATTTAAGGACTCTACACCACGTCATGTTATTGGCATATTTCAACATCCAGCCCACCTCCTTTTGCGCCATCCAAACCAGGGAGGAGGGGGGGGGGGACACCTACTCAAGGGGGGGGGGGGGGGATCATCTTTAATATTGCGGCTTCCATCAATGTAATTGTCTGCATCATTTCCAATCCTCCATATTTTTTGTTGTTGTAAATATTTAAAAGATAGATATTGTATAAATATATTTTCCTTTATTATTTTCCCCTAACCCTACCACCCCTCCCCTAATTGGAGTAAACTAATGGACAAAAACACTTAGGCTTCTACTTCCTGCTTATACATACTATATACATTTTACGGACATAGTATATTTTACAATAGTTATCTTTTGTTTGTTTTTAGCCCCATCCTTCAGCTACCCTCTACCCCTCCCATTTATTTCTGAAGACCATCCATTTTAGACTTCTATTTGCCATATATTTTTCAACTGTGCTGTTTCACAAAAGTTCTGAACCTATCTGCATTTTACGGACAAAATATATTTTACATTAGTTACCTTGTTATTTTTTGTCCAAACCGTTCTTGTTTACCTTCTCTTAGGTAAACTCACTGGATGTAAAAAGGTAAAAACAGTCATTTGACATCTTAGCAATCTATGTTCGCAAACAACCAAAAAATACTTATATAATTAAACAAACGTGTAATGTACAGTTCATAACATGTTACCATTACTCAAAGAGCTGTTTTGCAACCATCACATTGTTTTATCTTAGCATCATTTTTTTGGGGGAAATGTCTGTCTTCCTTAGCATATTAATAAGGGTTTAAACTGTTTGTTATTTTTTTTCAGGTCATCAGAGGCCTTGTTATTATCCCAAAGGTTATCTTATATAATTATCTATTGGCTAAGGTCAGTAGAAGGAACAACCTTCCCAAGCCATATCGTATCAATTTGAGATCTTTTTCACCTGTGAAATGTCTTTCTGCATAGTTTTAACTGACCCTGAGTTGTATTATCCCCACTCTATTGAACTGCCAAGTTGTCAACAATAACAGGATCTGAGTTTTAGTACCCCCACTGTATTGAACTGCCAAGTTGTCAATGATAACTGGATCTGAGTAGTAGTACATCCACTCTATTGAACTGCCAAGTTGTCAACAAGTGAATTATATCATTTCTCAAATCTTCTCTCTGGTGCAAACATGAGTTGGATAAAATACAAAAAAAAGGCATTTGTAATGCCGTCCAATGTTGTTATGTAATGTTGTTTATCTCTTGTCCCATCCCCGATATTGACCTGATAAAACAAATTAAACGTATTTGAGGATACATATGTAGGATCTTAATTTGACCTATATTGTAACAGCAGAAATAATCCTGCAGCAACAGGATTTGATCGCTTAGTCCATAATGTTGCTTGGTTAGGCTATTAGCCTAGGTTACATCAAAAGTGCAAAACTGTTAATATAACCATGTGTTAGTGTGGTTTTTCTGTGAATGTATGTAAATCACAAAGCTCATCTACATTTCTCAGCAACAAAAGAGTGATCAAATTAAGATCCTACATCTGTAACTGCGGTCATAAGCTACCAGGGAATCAGTCTTTCAATATTTGTAGTTCAGTTAATGTGTAATCTTTGCCATAGACATGCTATGACTTTCTGCAATTTCGTAATTTTTATGTATTTTGTTTTCTGAGAACCTCGTTGACATAACCTTGACATAACTGTACCTTTGATCTACTCTTCTGGGCCGTCCATATTGTATTTTGAAGCACAGATGCTATTGGTGTTCCCTAAACATCCAGCACTGCTGCTTTTTTTCTAGATGAGAAATGGATAAACCACATCAGTCACACTACAAAACGTGTCCGTAATTACCTATTAGTATGTCCACAGTAGTTACATAGGAAAAGTGTAATGACAGTGTAGGTACAGGTGGGACTTACAACTACCTGTCTGCAGAATGCACGATTTCAAGGATTTGCAAATAAACTCAGATAACTAGGTAATAAACCAATTCATTAGTGAGAGGAGGTTTAGCCACAATCTATTTGAGTTTGTTTACAAATATTATATTACAAATATGTTATTATTGTAATTATGTTACAAATATTATGTTACACATGTTATACAACTCACAAATCGAAGTCAGTTTACCAGTTGCAAGTGTAGCCATGTGTACCTGCACTATAATTCCACTCTACCTGCCTATGTGACTCCATACAAATAAATAATGATAGGTATAACAGACTCTTATTGTAAAGACTCCCTGGTGTAAAACGAGCTGAGTCCCATCTTAAGGGGACATTGTGCCAACAACATCAAAGCCTCCTCGCCAGACACTGCAGTCAGGAGGACTTTGAGTTTGGTATCAGCCAGGCAGGCAACTTATTCTATCCTAACATAATAATAAATAATAATATGCCATTTAGCAGACGCTTTTATCCAAAGCGACTTACAGTCATGCGTGCATACATTTTTTTGTGCATGGGTGGTCCCGGGGATCGAACCCACTACCTTGGCGTTTCAAGCGCCGTGCTCTACCAGCTGAGCTACAGAGGACCACATCTACTTTCTACTCACTATAGCCTCTAGGGTTAAACAAAGTATAAAATGTCTTTAAGGTAACCATGGCCTCTTTCCACTCTTCCTAACAAATATGGATCATGATAAAATACTAGATCATCATACTACCTAATTAACATTTGTATAACATAAGGTAATTAATTAATTTACAAATCCATCTCCGACACATCCCAACAGAACTTGGTGACAATCATAGCTCTTCATAGAACAGTTAACCCAGTTTCATGCACCCAAGTCACTTTAAATCTCCCAGAGATCATTAGCTATCGACCACTATCGCTCCTGTTTTTCACTAAGTCTCTTTGTAGAACCCTTTGAGCCGAGTCCCAAAAGCCTTTTGTGCCTATCCTCAGAAGATCAGAGACATGATAACAAGCAACTATTTCTGGTTGGGGACACAGTACCAACCTGCACTTTATGCTGCAGAGAGCTAGAGTACACACTAAAGCAGCCACATATTTTGTTCTTGTCTTAGCTGGTATACAGCGAGCACAGAGGTGAGCCATATGGAGGACATGCTAGATGCTTGAAACAGTGACTCTCGATTGATCGCCAAGCCTTTTCAAAGTCCAGACAGTCATCAAGGCAAGTTGTGTTGGTTTGCTTTCTCACGGATACTTAATTGATTAGTTAATAGCAATGCTGGCCATTAACTACATGTGGTCTCTATGGTCTGAATCAGTACAGGCAGCAGAGTAGACAGAACAACGCTTGATGACGGGCTCTGACATGGCCTCCATCCAGACTAAGGGCTATATTCAATCCGCATGGCAGAAGTTCAGCTTTACAGCATGACAGAAATTGAAAGAAACTTTAGCGGAGACTGCATTCTCGGCTCAATCTGAAATTACCTTTACATTTCATTTGCGGAATCTATAACGCTTCAGCTTTACAGATTGGATAGAGCCCTAATACGAAGGAAAAAATATAGTAACTGACCAAACTAGTGGGCAACCTTTAAAGCTCCAATCACTGTCTTTTGTTGGAAGACTTCTTGAAACAAGGCTGTCAATCTGGCAACCTTTTAAGGGAACAGATGGCTGTTTTGAGTCCACGATCGGCAGGTTGGGGAGGCACTTTGTGACAACGGACCGGTAATTGTTTGGCTCTGATCAAGCCTTTCAGATGGATGTGTCAGGACCGGACACCAAAAATGCCACTGATCAAATTCTCCTTCCATCAATCCACTCTGGTTTAAAATAGTCTCATCTCTGTGGGGGATTTGTCAACAGCTCAATATATCTTTGAAAGTGTCTTGAGGTGTCAGACAGGCCATCCTGTACAGATACCATTTTGATCGAGTGTGCAAAGCTGTCATGAAGGCAAAGTGTGGCTACTTTGTAGAATCTCAAATATAAAATATATTTTGATTTGTTTAACACTTTTTTGGTTACTACATGATTCCATATGTGTTATTTCATAGTTTTGATGTCTTCACTATTATTCTACAATGTAGAAAATAGTAAAAATAAAGAAAAACCCTGGAATGAGTAGGTGTGTCCAAACTTTTGACTGGTACTGTATATGTATATATATTTTTGGGGTGGGGGGGCCTTGCTCGGACACTGCGGGGGCCCCGTGAAACTGTGCTATGCCACTGGAATGTTCATGCATTGTCCATGGCAACACATACCAGTAAACCGATTTCCCTCATTCAAGACAATAATGTGTGATATTTGTGTGTAGACACATGCCATGTATGATTGCACTGGTATTTTCCGGCTCTGGGACTTTGATTCCTTTGTATCATGTGAAATGAATACGAGTCACGTCAATTGAATTTTAGAACATGGATGTCTTTCACATGCCTCTGATGTGCTTATTGCATAATGCTGTTGGTCTTTGATGTACTTGCAAAGTCCTGCCATGGCTTTTATGCTGTTCTTTGAAGTAGGCCACGTGGCAGTGTGTTGTGATCTGCTGGTTTGCTTTGAAGGTGCCCGTTGTGGTCACTCAATGACAGTGGTTATGTTGAGCTATGCTGTTGATCATCTTACACTTGTACCTGGACACCTTAGCTATTCTGTTTGAAGCATAGGTAAATTGCACAAAAACTTGATGATCATGCCCTTTGCTGTGGTTGTTTGATGCTGTCTCTGGGTACTAATTGCCAATGGATGCAGTCGTCTGATGCTGCAGTCATGTTTGATGCTTCTGCTAAGAAAGCATGTCATGGAATCCTGCAGTCTTCTCTGGAGCTGAAACATAAATTATTTTGAACATTCTGCCAAATAAAAAAACCAAAGAAAGATATTTTGTTTAATACAAACTCAGTACAATGACTGGTTGCATATTATATAGCAGTAGGTAAAGTACTGACCCCCAATCAAAATCCATGAATGCAGGCATTATGAGGGCGGCAGGTAGCTTAGTGGTTAAGAGCGTTGTGCCAGTAACCGAAAGGTCGCTGGTTCTAATCCCCGAGCCGACTAGGTGAAAAATCTGTCGATGTGCCCTTGAGCAAGGCACTTAACCCTAATTGCTCATGTAAGTCGCTCTGGATAAGAGCGTCTGCTAAATGACTAAAATGTAAAATTAGAAATTATGCTTATCTACTGCACACACTGTACCACTAGAGAGCAACAGAGGACTGGATAGACATTGAGAGTTCATTACATCTAGGGTTTTAAGACATTGAGGGTTCATATGTGTTGTATGAAATGTGGTCCTTCATTTCCTTTAAAACGAATTATTCAAATAGCATGAATCAGAATTACATGTGATTCCTTACAATTAGGCTGGGTACTGCATCACCTGTAAATTTAGGAGAAATGTTAATGTTCAACAAATTAGGATCACAGTAAGAATTCTTCAAAGGCCTATGTCTATGATTATGTGGGTAGGCTATAATTGAGCCTAAAATGTGTTCTACAGAGTTTGTGCCCTGTCATTTGATAAAACTCTTAAGGCTTTGATAACGTTAGGGAGGGCAAGCAATTATTACAATCCAAAATCTAAATAGAATTTCTGTTCAGAATTTTACACAGAGAAGATGACTTACCCCGAAACCCTAAGATTATGAAGTTGATAGAAGCCATCAGTGTTAAGGGGTCTTGTCCTGTCTAAAATCCTGGTTTGTTACACTCACAAATCAGTTCTGTCACAATTTAAACAATTTAGTTCAAAACTGTTACAAACAGCTGGCTTCAAAGAGCAGCAGGATTTGGCCGTCTTAATCATTTTAGGGAACACATTTAGGAAATGAAGGTCTCATTGAACACTTTCTAAACATCTTTAGTAAACACCTTTAGTAAAGACCTGGCATTTGACAGTACTACCATTTCATTAGAACAAATGACAAATGAAAATGGCTGACTCGAACAAAAGCGCTTTAATCCATTATCTTATTAATTATACAAAACACAAGTTATGATAATAGCTGCTAACATGTATGGATTCTATATTTGGACAAACTTGTTTGGGTGATATGCGTTCATTCATTATTTGTGTTCATTAAATATTTATTGGACAGGGGCCAAGTCACAAGGCATTATGCGTGATCAACAGATTTAGAGGAGACAATATTTCACTGAATGTAGTATATAGTGATGGTCTGTACCACCTTTAAACATATTCAGTTTTTACTGTTTCTTGACATGATATTTCATACCTTATTCTACAAAATCTTGCAGAGACTCCTAAATTAAATTTCATAATTCAAAGACATATTTTTATGATGCAATATCCAATATCCTCTCTTCTGTAACATAATAAAAAAGAAAATACAAAAAAAGGTTTTTGATTTTATTTGCAAGGTATAAACACAACATAAATTACTCGTTATAATATTCAATGGACAGTTAATCAATTTCATAGAAAACAAAACAATAAAACTCATAATTTATAAAACATGGTGTTCCTGTGCTTGGACAAGACATGTATCTGTGCCAGGCTTTCCAGTCTCATACTTCCTTCATACCTATTTTGCCCTGATCTCCAACCAAGGCAAAGTCTGATACACGAAATACATATTTAGGGTATTAAAACATGTAACTTGTTACGATGTCCTTTTTAAAAGCAACACAAAGGGGTATCAAAAGCAGTGCTTCTCAATTCCGGCATGTTAGGTGTGATGGTCACTGAGTGAGACGAAACCTCAAATTGAAAGGTCATTGATTCAAGTCAAACATCTGGTAATGGACATTGCCTATTGAAGAGTAAAAATGAATACATCATATTTCCAGAGAAGTGCAGATATACGCGCATGTAAACATTTCATTTCACCTTTAAATACTTTCTTTTAATTTTAAGCAGACAGCATTTCATAAAAAACAGAAACAAAAAAACCCGAAATATGCTATTTCTCCTGGCACCTGGTTGAGAGTCCACAGTCCATTCAGTTTGTGCTACAGAAGTACATCTTGTCACGGCCCATATTAAGGTTTGCGTAGTTACACATTTACTCTGTAGTAGTCCCCTGTTAAACAGCATTGCACAGCATTGCTTTCGATCCCATATGATTTACAAAAACACACACCCCACTCGGACATAGCCATATGTAATCTTTGGCCATGCCACTATTGTTGCTCCTCTATTGAAACAAGTCTCTTTGGCAGAAAGTGCACAACAGTTAGTTACCTTTTCCCTATTTCACTTTGCCGTAGGAACTGAATGTTGTTAGCGCTGTCCGCTAACTCCGGATATTGCTCGATGGAAAGTGCATAGTACCCGTCATACCCCAGCACTTTCCCACTGCTCAGGAGCTGCCTCTTCTCTCCCTCTGTCCATGGGCGGACGCCCTCCTCGCCGTCGCGCACCCTCTGCTGTTCCCTGGCCCACACACTCATTAACGCCCTCTGGCGGGCCAACTCAAGCACGCGGGCCTTCTCCTCGTCCACCGTGGAGCCATAGCGCACATGCAGCGCAAGCGCCCCGCGCCGCAACTCCACGTCTGCGAAGCGCCGAGTCCGGCTGTCCATGACCGTGGTGGACTGGGACACGCTGACATTGACGCCATTCTCCAGGGTCTTGTGGCCGCTGGTGAGGCGCAGCGCCGCCAGGTCGCTGTCGGGCAGGCCGGGCTTGACGAAGTAGTGAGTGTCGTGGCCTTCCACAGTGAAGTGCAGGTCTTCCAGGTAGAAGGCATTGTTGAGGACGGTGGCCACCTTGATACAGTCCTCGTTGGCTACGTTGAGCGTTTGAGTGTGGGCAGTGCCCTTGTAGATGCCGAACATGACGGCTCTCCCGATGGGGGACTGGGCTGCTGAAAACCAGAACCAAGGCTTCTCGCCTCTGCGGCCTCGGCCCGCATGAACCTCCGGCAGCCGCTCAAACATCAGGAGGGCATGCGCCTGTCTGGTAACTTCCTGCTGGACCCCAGAGATGGACTGTAAAGAGAATGCAGTGAAACGTTAATGTCTGAGCATGGCAGAACCTCACACTGCAGTCCATTCATGAGCAGAAGCAGGCTTCAAAGAGTTTTCATGTGCCTGCAAGATAATTGTATTACCAGGAAGTGAGATAAAGGTACAACAAGGTAAAATGCCAGTGTGGATCTTTTTCATATAATGATTATTAGGCAAATCTTGACAGCTTAGTAAGCATTGAATAATGATTGTGTTAACAATGACAAGTGGTATTGTCACATATGTAGTGCTTATAAATATCTATGCATTGCTTATGAATTTGTATTACAAGTATAATTATATCTGTGTTATGAATGTGTACTGCAAGGGCAAATATAACACATTGTCTTGGACAGCAGAACAAGTTAACTGGATACAATAAATGAAAAGTTCTAGATAAGTTATTTTCTACTGTGCCAAATTAATTAAATAATAAATGGAAATGCAATTTGTACATCTTCCTATGAAAAAGCTGTCCAATTAAATGTGATGCCAATTAAAAACATGGTACTACAGAAAAACATATACATTGAATAGAAAACAATTGTAGAGCATGCTTCTTTTTCCTCTGCTTGTTTGTCATAGTGAGTGATATTCATCCAGCAAACAACTATGCTCTTTTAGATCAGCTTTAATATTGCAGATAGAGTGTGGCTTCTATCAGTGTAATTAGCTGCATCATTTCCAACCCCCCATATACTGTATATAATATTACATATTAAAAAATATATATGTTCCTTCTTTATTATTTTCCCCTAACCCTACCACCCATCCCATAATTGGTGTAAACTAATGGACAAAAATACTTAGGTTTCTACTTCCTGCTTATACATACTATATACATTTTACGGACACAGTATATTTTACATTAGTTATCTTTTGTTTGTTTTTAGTCCCATCCTTCAGCTACTCTCAACCCCTCCCATCCATCTCTGAAGACCATCCAGTTCTGATTTCAAGCTGCCATATATTTTCCCACTGTGCTGTGATGTTTCACAAAAGTTCTGAATCTTTCTATTCTCATAGTTTCTACAGATTGTAAATGAAAGATAAACATTTTTGCTAAGAGTATTATTATATTATTGATAGATTGACTATGACTTTTCAAATCACCCAGCAGTTCTATTTGCAGAGGTAGCTTTAAGTAAACGTTGAAATTCTTCAGCCATTCCTGAACCTGCGACCAAAAACAAGCTACATATGGGCAGTACCAAAACAAGTGATCTAATGATTATGTCTCTTCGCTGCAAAATCTGCAGAGCTGGGATGGTTGTATCCCCCATATATATATAACATTATATTGGTTGCAAGAATATTGTATAATAATTTAAACAGAAAAACTCTACGTTTTGAATCCGGCGTTGTTTTGAGTATCAGTTCATAAACCATGTGTCATGGAATCGGTACATCAAAAATCTCCTCCCAACTATTTTGCAACCTGTATGACGCAGCTGTAAGTGTTTTGGTCCTTAAATGAAACTGGTATACTTTTTTATTTATCACAATTTCCTTTAGCCAATTTTGGTCTTTAATGCAGGGCCGACAGACAAGTTCCTTACCTTCTCCCCTTTCCACTTGCCTCCTCCATTTTTGCGGTAATGCTGCAATCAGTTGGTTGTAATTTTAGATAAAGCAAACATTTCCATATATTTTTATTAACTGCATGTGTGACATAACTCCATCTAACGTTGCTGTTGAAGTATAGACACCTGAGTTGCCTAACCCATTCACAGGATTGGTCAACTTTTGAGGTTTCTAGAGTCTCAACCGAGCTAGTTAAATCTGCTTTTAGTTGTAGTTTTAATGCACTGTATTGCTGGACAAAAAAATCAAAATACATTTCATCAATGTTCTGGTGCCGTTCGGGCAGTTTAGAGTACTGATTGGGGAATTATTTGTGGAGGAATATAACTGTTTCTGGTTGATTTGTGATGTTTTACTTGTGCTTCCCATGACTGTGTTTTTGTATTTTAAATGTATATATATATATATATATATATGTATATTTTGTGTATAACGTGTACATTTGTATTGTATTGAGCAGGGCACATTTGAAAAAGAGACCTAGGTCTCGATACGTCTTCCCTGGTAAAATAAAGGTAAAAAAATGTTTTAATAAAGATCACCCTGCTTACTTTACATTTCTCTACTATATGGATCACAAATAGCAGGACAAGGAGCGATTGAAATAATGTCAGATATGAAACCAACCGGTAGATCATCCCAAAGCTGGCTCTTCTTCAGTTCATAAGATGGGTGGGTCAGATCAAACTTTGGGACTGGGTAGCCAGGAATGGTGTTGTGTAGATGGAACCCAAAGGTCACCAGCCAGCTATTCACATCTACATGGGACAAATAAGAGCAAGGTCATACTAAATATTTAATGACATGGTTATGTCAAAATAGAAAATATGGTAATGTTTTATCATAAGTAATTAATGTCTTAGTTATCATGAATAAGCTGGTAATACATGCATGAAAAAAGCATGTACAAAGATTTAAACATTTGAATAGCACATTTAAATAACATGTTTACACTATGTGCACATTAAATGTTACTAAGTTGAATAAAAGTGACAATAAATATCTTACCTGCAACATACTCTCTCACTTCATGTACTTTGCTGATGGGGTTGTTGTTTCTGAACATGTAGAGATTAAAAGGACCAGGCTCTTTCCCCACTCGTTTCCAGGTGTTGATGTCAGGCACAGTCCACCTGCCGGGCATAATGTCATAGTCCCTCTCACCAAAATGCAACAATTTGGTCAGCGGGTCATAGAGCCCCCCATGGAACCCCAGCACCAGTTGAAAGTCCGGGTTGGAGTCAAAGTAGATCTCCCCGTACGCTGTGTACTGGACCTGCTTGATCAAGGAGGCCGTTGCTGGTGAATACGGCCAGAGGGGTTCCGGTGTTGTCACAGGCGATGTAGTACTCCTCTCCGCTGCTGATCTCCTGGGCAAACAGGTGTCCCTGCAGGTCATAGTACAGGGAGGTGATCTCAGAGCTGGAGTGGTTGTAGACGTGGGTGATCCTGCTGGGGTAGCTCAGGTCTGCATAGAAGTACTGCAGGTGCTGCCCCAGGTTGGTCTTGGTGGACACCCTCCGGCCCAGGCCATCGTAGCGGTACTGGATGGTCCAGCTGTTGCCCTTGCTGTATACGCGAGCCAGGAGGCCCTTGGAGTTGTAGTCGAAGATCTCGGAACCTCGCTGGCGGAGGAAGCCATCCTCGTCCATGCGGTACTGCACATCTCCCAGGCGGGTGATGCGGTCACGGAGGTCGTAGCGCAGAGGTAGCAGTCGGGCGCTGTTGCCTGGGTTCAGTAGGTGGAGGTTGCCATTCAGGTCGTAGGTGTAGCGCCACATGACCTTGTCGTTGAGGTAGACCGTCTGGAGCTGGCCGTCTACGTCGTACTCGTAGCCGTACTTGGTGGTGTTGGCGAACGGCCCAATCTTGATTTCCCTCTTAGTGCATCGTCCCACGTCATCATACTGGAAGGTGATCCAGTACATGAGGGATCGGAAGATCTCGTACTGGATCTCCTTGATCCGGCCGTGGGCGTCAAAGTGCTTGGTGTAGGTCATGACGGCCGTGGAGATGATCTGGTTGATGTCATAGTAGATGACGCCGAACTTGCCGAACTGCTCGACCTTGCCAGAGATGTCGTCGAACTGGTAGAGGTCGATGGGCAGCGGCGTCTCGTTGATGACGCCCTGAACGCTGGTGACTCGCAGGCTGCTGTCATAGGTGTAATCGAAGCGGGCATTGACCATTCCGTCCTCGCTGAAGCGGAAGATCTGCCGGTCCACCAGGGGGCCCACTTGGCGGTAACGGATCGAACAGATGAAGCCCTCGCTCTGCAGGTTGACCGTCTTCAGCACGCCTGCCATCTCATCGTACGTGAAGCTGACCCGCGTGCTGTCGTACAGGACTTCGGCTAGCTTGTTCTGCCGTCGGTACTTGTATAAGATCCGGCGGCCCGTGCCCAAGTGCACCACTCGCTGCAGGAGGCCATCCTCACTGTAGTCCACGGCTACAGAGGCGTTGCTCTCAGGCGGGTGGAAGAGGTTGCGGTAGTAGCCCACTGAGCGGACTGTGTGCATGGTGTAGCGGGCCACACTGGGCATGGTGACGGCAGATAGTCGGTCCAGAGAGTCAAAGTCGAAGATGTACTGACGCTGGCTGTGGAGCAGGAGCACCATTGACTACAGGAAAGATGCGCAAAGGGAGAAAATAAATATGAGTATTTGAAGTATTCATTTTTTGTTGTTTTATGACTACAAATAATTATATATTTACACCACCCGCTCACAAAATAGCCTAAACAATTGCATCAAACCTACACACATTTATTTCTGACTCCTAAAATTCATGGCATTCAGAGTTAATTCATAATGCACTTTGGATGCTAGAAGTGCTTTAGGTGGACTGCCACCCTTCCTGTGAAAATGCCATGCCCAGTCAACTGTCGGTACACTGAGGTTACTTAAGCTCCTAAGGCTTCAGTGTGCCCCATGTTTCTTTGTTGACATGGCCTATCCCTGTCATGTAATGAGCACAAGGAGGGCCAAGTGCCCAATGCCAAGTGAGGGCGAGGAAATCTCTGCATGGTTTTTGCATGAGGAAAAGTCCTTGCAGCTGAGCCTTCCAGTAAGTGATCTCACTTATTTTTCTGCGAGGAGTTATGTTCTTAGGGAAGTTCTGCGAGGAGTTATGTTCTTAGGGAAGTTCTGCGAGGAGTTATGTTCTTAGGAAAGTTCTGCGAGGAGTTCTGTTCTTAGGGAAGTTCAGCGAGGAGTTATGCTCCTAGGGAAGTTCAGCGAGGAGTTATGTTCTTAGGGAAATCTATGAATGATTTTAGATTACTGGCTATAAATCGATCTCTGAATGTGCTACAGCGATGAAACCACTATCTCCTGCTGCGTTACGATGTAAGTGGCTGTGACGTAGAGTTCAGCCAGGAGTTGATGGACAGTCATAAGAGCGAATGAAATGGTAGGAGGGACATCCCCGCTTCAAGTGGTGTCAGATTTCACATCCTGCTTTACACAGGCAGAAGAGGCATACTCCTGTGTCCATTAGAATCAGGGCTACCGCTCAATGCAATACATTTCAATTGATGATGTCCACATATCAATTTATAAGCGAAAATGTCGGTCGGTACCAGTACCAGAACCACGCAGGTTCTGTCTGTCTAAGAGTTAAGCAAGGCATGTGTGGGGCCTCCATTCCAATTCACAATTGCTTTAATCATCAAAAGTACTCCATTTGTGTTTGTGCATTTGTGCACAAGTGGAGAAACCAAATCATTTTATCGAGACGCTTCAACCCTCACCTTGTCCAGGTATGTGTAACTCCACGTCTTCCCGTCAGCAAACACTCTGGAAACGACGCGTCCCTGAGCGTCGTACTCCAACCGCTCGCTGGTCGCCCCCCTCTGGAGGGCGCTAATCTGCCCGTTGCTGCTCCGGCTGACGTTCACGGGCAGAAGCTTACTGCTGGGGACCCATAGCACAGGGTGGCCCGCGCCGTCATAGATAATCTTCAGCAGGAACTTCCTGTGGTCGTCATAAATCTTCTCCGTCCTCAGCGTACGGTCATAATCAACCGACAGAATGTTCCGTCCGTTCACCTGTTAGTTGGTATGTGTATTGAATCAAAGCCCAGACAAAACAACAACAGACCATAGAGATCCTATTAGATTACTAGAGGGGCTATGTCATAAACCCTAAAAGTTCCAGAATGGTATGAAAATGTCAGCCATTGGCGTCAGGGAGAAATCCAAACCAGTCTGAATTGCAGTAGAGGCATAGGTGATCCATTTCCTTCTACATTTACATTTTAGTCATTTAGCAGACGCTCTTATTCAGAGCAACTTACAGTTAGTGAATACATATATATATATTTTTTTATACTGGTCCCCCATGGGAATTGAACCCACAACCCTGGCGTTGCAAACGCCATGCTCTATCAATTGAGCTACATCCCTGCCGGCCATTCCCTCCCCTACCCTGGACAACGCTAGGCCAATTGTGCGCTGCCCATGAGTCTCCCGGTCGCGGCCGGCTGCGACAGAGCCTGGATTCGAACCAGGATCTCTAGTGGCACAGCTAGCACTGCGATGCAGTGCCTTAGACCACTGCGCCACTCAGGAGACTCCTCTTACTTATGCAGGAAAAAAAAAGTAAGGCATGTGATATATCAATAATTGAGTAACAGAATTATTGTCAACTTAAAATATTGTCATATAATTATAAATACAGTTTACAAAGGTTTTATACCAATTATATGTATAAATAGCCTCTAAAATATATGTAAGCATACCATAAATGTCTTAATGTTTGTTTTTTTGAAAAGCTGTAAGTGTTATAATATGATACAATATCAGTCATTTACAACTAATTTCAGCCAGTGTATGGCTGTGCATTGACTGCATTGTTTGAATGAAATGTTGGCCTATTGGCAGTTAATGTGACACATTATTGGCTAAGTAGCTAACAAACATACTCTGCAGATAATCTTCAAATTCATTTTTACACGATATCTTATGACATCACTGGCTGATGACTGGCTTACCAACTCCCTTACCAAAATGGCTGACCTTGTATACCGTCATAAGAAGGTTCATGTCCATTCTAGCATTCTAATTCCTAATTCTATGCAACAGAGAATGAGTCTTTGAAGTCACAGAGTCATGGAGAGTGCACTTATTGTTTTATCTGGTGACCTAAAAACAGCATTTAGTGTGATTGCCACTCTTTGGCAGTCAGTGAGAGGAGATGAATAGCTCCTTCAAGGGCTTCATTAAACTGAGAGACACTGGCAATTGCTCAGAAACCCCCCCCCCCCCCCCTAAATTTAGTGGGGTCAAAATTGTTGTTAAGGAAAGTAACTACCCAAGTTAAGTTCATAACGTCAATTGTAAATCTCATTGGCAGGTTCTGGAGAAGAATACTGGCAGTATAGGGTATTGGGAATTTGGAAGCAGGTACTATTTTACTGCATTTAATTAAAATCAGGTATGCTTATATCTCACACTTAACTCCAGGATGAATCATTGATGCATCCAGGGAGGCATTTAAATGATTTTGCTGTAGGCCTACACTTCAGTTAAGTGTCAGTTAATATACAGTCGGTGAGTGAACACCAACATATCTTACAGATAAATGAAACTCTCTGAATAATAAAGTGAAACTCACCCTTAGCTTGCGCCCAAAAACGATGACTTTGCCCCTGGCCTGCTCCTTGCGGAAGCGCCACTCGACCAGATTCTGCCCACTCTCCCCTGGCAAACTCATGTTACGCCGTGCCACGGTGGGGTTGGCAGTGCCCGCCAAGATGTGGGGCTCAGTCTGGTAGTGGGTGTCCATTCCATTGGCATAGGTGATCCTCAGAGAGTTATCATAGCCAACCTGATAACTGCTTCTACATTGATCTGAAAAGATAAAAAGACAGGGTCATCTTTGATAACATTGTACTAAGTATTGTGACTATAAATCATTGTTGTCGATACTCAGGGAAATCTTCCCACCTATGCCATGTTGGATAAAACTACCCTCTGATAGAAAAACAGATTAACATTTAAAAAAGAACTATAGAACTTCAATAAATGGAAGAATTCAATAAATAGCTCGAAACACAGGACAAAGTGTTTCGATACAAGGTTTCTGCTCACCCCACACACTGAGGAAGTAATAATTTACACTGTCTTCTGTCAAACCCGCTCACCCATAATGACACATGACTTAAGCTTACTCAACATTGCCCTGACGACCCAAGCAACAATGACAAATAACCAGCTTCAAAATGGCAGTCTGAACTGTTTGTGCCTGTTTCAGCAAGACTGAGAGGAGGAGATGTGCAGCTTACCCTGAGCCAATGTATAGAAGGCACGGATGGTGGTGGTATTGGTGGTAATGCTAATTTCCTCTTCAGTCAAGGAACTCTCAATGTCCACGGTCAAGGCCCTGTAGATGTCGGTGTACAGGTTGTTCACTGTTCCGGTGGGGAACGTCACGTTCATTAGCTTGCCTTCGCTGTCATAGCTGAAAGATGGATGGAGAAGTTAATGTAAAAGTGATCATTATGATTCATGAATTTTTACATCGATGCATGGTGTCATTTTGTTAAGAGTATCTAGGCAACATCACACTCTGTCACCACACGGTCTCTTTATATGTAACTTGGTAGAATAACCTTTCAAAGGATCGAAATATGACACTGTGGGCAAATTTTCCAGTGCGTGTCAATGTGAAGGAAGTCACTGTGACTGTCACCAAGTTCACATCAAGAGGAAAATGGAATATGAATGTAGATACATTTTAAGTGCAAAGCCTCAACTTATTTAGCTTACATTATAATAAATTAATATTTCTTCATATTACTCAAATGTATTTATCTAGTCAGACTCTCATCACCCTAAAAAGTGAAGGTATACTCTGCCACTGCAGAAATCAGTCCCTCTTACTTCTGTATACTCACTCGTAGAATGTGGTCCAGCCAATTTCAGAGGTCTTGGTAGCCAGCAAGCCAGTGTTACCATGGTAGGTGAGCAGCACCAGTTCCTGGCCCTGAGCCGTCAAGGTCTTCAGCCCACCGTTGGTCCCCATGGTCAGCCAGATGACCTGGTTGTCAGGGGCGACTATGCGCACGGGCATGCGGTTGGGGTCACGGCGGATTCTCAGGGTGTTTCCGTTGCTATCGGTCATGGCGGTAACGTCGTTCTCCGTGCTGTAGCTGAAGGTGTACTTGAAGTCACCTGTCATGAGGTTGGTGGTGTGTAGGTGGGTCCCATTGGTGTCAAAGACGTACAATTCCTGGGCATCCGGCGATGCCACTTCGAAGGTGTTGGCGTTGGAGGTCAACACAGGCCCGTTCCTACCGACTGCCCGGATGCGGATGTTGCCCAGGTCTGCCACATATAGGGTGCCATCGGGTGCCACGACAAGAGAGGACGGTGCGTTGAGACGGGCGTCTTTGGCGTAGCCATCGCCCGTCTGGTAACAGTCACAGTTAACATCGTTCTTACAGTCGCAGTCGGACGGCGACCCCACCAGATGGGTTATTTCACCGTCAACGGACACAGTTCGGATTCGGCTCAGCTTCCGCTCGTCGGTTTCGGCGACGAAGATGGCGCTGTGGTAGGACACAGCGATGGCCACGGCAGACTCCAGGGGCGTCAGTGCTGCCCTTTGACCTCCGCGGTCCATCCCGGCCAACGGGCAGTGGATGGGCCGGCCCGCTGCAATGCTGACCTGGCCGTTCTCAGTGATTCGAAGGACCACATTGCTGTCCAGGACGTACAGGGAGTTATCCATGGGGCTGACCGCTAGGTCGGTAGGCCACTCCAGGAGTACCTGCAGATCGGGACATTGTTATAGGCACCACCTCACAGAGATGTGGCATTAAGACGTGACTGTCAACCCAAATGACTGTGATCTTCTCCATCTACACATCACCAATGTGACATTGGCAAACTTGTCCCATTATAAATGTCTACATTCTCCTAAATATTTCAGTGTGACATCAGCATTGTCAAAAACTGTGGGAAAACAAATCCTTAATCGTCCTTTCCAGTGATTAATAATAAGGCGTTTTGCCCTTAAGGCTGCACACGACTCACTACTGTGACTGTTTGTCTCTGTGCCATGCATTAAGCCTGCCAGTCTGCCTTCTTATGGGGACAATATGCCTCGGGATGCTACATTCTAGCCAAAAAGATATCCGTGTTGGGTTGTAACATTGAAGTGTCTTAATTAACTTAAGATTACATGTTTAGTACTATGCATGCCAGTCTGCCTGATGGTTTCAAGCCTCCCTTAGGGTTCTGATAAGACACATGGAAATGCTCTCTGGCATGTCCCCTTGGATTAAAGGGCAGAGGTATGGGACCCCAATCCAAGTTGAATTTGACTCTCGACCCCAATCCACTCCTGAAACGTCCCCTCCGGACGTGTTATGGAGGCCCGCCATTCCATTTTAATATGATAAAAGCTTTTCTTAGTTGTATTTTCTTCATTATTAATTTGCACCACGTCAGAGACTGTATGTAATGGAAGGGGATAGAGTGGAGATGTTTCAGAGGAGAGACAAAGTTGTATTGAGTTAGTGTTTTACCCTCATGAGGCGGTAACTTATTGCCTACTGACAGGGCACTATGTTCATGAGGAGGTAACTTATTGCCTTCTGACAGGGCACTATGTTCATGAGGAGGTAACTTCATCAACTGTTAAGGGAAGATTTTTGGAGACACAATCTTTTGCATCTGTGGAAAGTTGTTAGATAGACAACTGTTGAAATGTCATGTTGTTTGGTAGGAATGACCCCTCAAAAATCAGTTGCTGACTACATGAACTTCGATTACACCTGATTTAACTAATCAAGGGCTTGGTGGTTATTTGACTTATATGAATCAGATGTGCTAGTGTACTGCAACAAAAATATGCAGTCCTGTGGGTCCCTAAGGAACAGATTGGGACACACTGTAGATACCCAACAATAAGCCTCAGCAACTTGAAAGATAGAGGTCCTTAAAACCAGAATACAATGCATTCTAATGTCTTTCCATCCCCTGAGATAACCATACCCAAAGGTTTATTATTTAACTATGTAAGTACTTCCATTATCAGGATTTCGTGGCTGTTTTTTTGCGGTCAAAATTGCTTGATTTTGCTGCAGCATATTTGACATTTTGCATAACAATATGCAATGATTTTGTCCAAATTGTCACAAAAATGCATTGACAGTTGGAAAGGTTTGTTGACGTGTGGCTTGATTGAACCATTTTATGGTAGCCCTCTTTTTGTAGTGTGGTAATCAGACAGTTTAATGCGCTAATATTGCAGAGATTTTACTGTTTTATGCGGTAATAGTGCGATGATTGGTCAAACTTGTAAGCCCTTGTATAATATGCAGGGAATTGTTGAATCTTCAAAAAAACATTTGCGATCTCAGAATCCTAGAGAGACTGGCATTATTTAACACTCCAGACTGAGTGACTCATAGATTGGCAGGGAGAGAACCACAAGGTGGCGCTGTGATGTGAGCCCTATGGGAACTGACTTAAGGACAGAACAGGCGTGAGGGAGGCCTGACTGGTAATCTGACAGTCACCTGATTGATGTCCATGCTGATGTCACAGGTCAGGGGGCGTGCCGACGTGAGGTCATTGGAGCCCAGGAGTGTGGATATGATGCCGCTTTGGTCAACTCTCCGGATCGTGGTGCCGTCCACAAAGTATATCAGTCCATTCTTGTCCACAGCGATACCTGTCGAGGCAAAAGGGGGGAAGGGGGGAATAAAAGAAAGGCAGAAGTGAAAACAGATAGATAGATGTGTCAGATGTGGGAGATGTGAAGTTCTTTCTGCTTCCATGACTCTGTGGACGGAACACGACGGATACATGTGTCGAGTTTGGCTTCCCATTATTCAGGTCACTGCAAAAAGCACATCCTTCAATAATTCAACCGCCTGCTTTCCTGCTATTGAATAATTTCTCAGGGTGAAGTGGGAAAGGCTGTATCTCTACTGTATGTGTGCCGGGCGCTGCGCGTCTCGCCATATCCCACCTCTAAAAACAGAACTCATAGGTACAGTGTCAACGAGTGTTGCTTTTTTCCCTCAAATTGTAGCTCTGACACCCGACAATCATCAACTCTCTTCACTCTATCCGTGAAATGGGTGGGCGGGGGGAAATGACGGCTTGGGCCAATTTTAGACGAAACGGGTGAACGACAGGCAGTTGCCATGGTTACGGCAGTGGGCAAAATTGCCCGACTGATTGAGTGTCGGCTGAGGGTTCCAAATTTCAGTGCGAGGAGAGAGTGCTTGCCGTAGTAATTTGTCCCACACAGGGAAAATATATTAGCAACCATGGCACACTTCACATCTCTTCATGTTACTGTGGGCTCCTAATAGAGAGCGGTGGCTATAGGATTTCAATTAAACCTCACGTACATTTCCATTTCTTTTTTCAATCAGCGCTATAAACGCTGGTGTAAACACACACTGTGGTTGGTTTTTAAACTCAACAAGGTGAGAACAGTTGATCACAAGAGGTGAGGAATTGGTATATATTCTGCCTTTAACAGATTTAATAGCTTCTAAATCCGTTTTTTAAAATGATTTTATTTTTTATAGGTGAGTGCTTTGGTTTGACCTGTGGCTACATGTAGGTTTGCACAAAGATTGCCTGGCTACTGAAACATTAAAGAGCTTAGGGAGCACCAATCCATTCTGGGAGAGCTGGCTATTTGACAGTCGGGGGAAAATTCAGACAGATGAAAAGTGTCACATTTGAGCATATTTCAGCAAACGTCTGGAAAAGAAAAGCCCAGCCATCTGCCATCTCTTTCCCCCAGCCTCTACCTCCTCCCACTTCAAAGTTAGAGTCCCTCCCTCCCAGACTCCCTTCAGTCAAACCCACTCTTTTAAATGCAGTTTAAGCTGGGCCATTAGGGGGGACTTTAAAGACTGGCACACACCAGACAAACTAATAATCCATGACTTCTTAACCCCTTACGCTCGTGGAAATTGGCCTATATGGATAGGGCCAAATTGAAACAGAAGAACTATGCATGACCATGGTAGCAATTGAAAGAGGACACTTTGGAGATTATGAGGAAATGATCAGACCAAAGGTGAGGACACAACAATTCACCTGACACAAGCCTGAATCCAAACATTGCACTACTGATTTTATGTGCATTTTACATTTACTGTACTTTTCACAGCATTTGTCAATAATGAAATCTGAAAACATGTGCAAGTAATTTCAATGCACTTTTATGACTCAAGTAAAGAGCCTTCAACTATAGTTTTTTATAAAAAAAATTTAGCTCACCTAGCTTTGCCATTGAGGAACTGAAGCAAGCACACTTTTTTTTGTTTGGAACAGAGCCCTGCGTCCCCACCATCAAACAATTACTGTTGTTGTTGTTTACGCAATCCAAAAATGTTCCATTATAAATTGCAATCTGGGTCAGGTGGGCATCATTTGAAAGCTCATTCTATTGCCAACATGGCTAGCTAAGTTATAAAATATGATCTTATAGTGTTAGGCTTTCAAAAGGTGCGCATAGAATGGAGTCATGAGTGCATTCAAGTGCGTGTTCCGCAGCTAATGTTCTTCACAATAGGACAAACATTGGCTCATTCTGTTCGGGACAACCCAAGGTATAACGCCATGTCATCCTTGTAACTGTGCATCAAACATGGCAATGATAAACAATGATACTGTAAATTGAGTTTTCAAATATGGAAACGTGAAGTGCCCATTTGGACTCATGGGTGTTTGGCTTGCTTGCATGACATCACAGCGCTGTGAAGCGGAGAACCTGAGCTCTGACATCATTTATAACATGTTACTGTATAGCCACTGCGTTCCAATTAAGGATCTTATCAACCCGTATACGGGTTGATAGGGGCTGTGAGTGGAAAGGGCTACCTTCAGATTGTTCGGAGGGTGGTTAGTGTTTAGGCCCAATGTGGCGATCACTAGCATTGATTTGGATGAAGATTTCTACTTCAATGAGTCGGTGGTGCAGGACATACTGCTCACCCCAGACCAGGCCCTAATCCCTGAGACTCGGAAAAGGAAAAGACTGCGTAAGAGAGGCTGACGTGCGGGCACCCTGACAAAACTATATTGGCAAATAAATAATCCGCCTTTAAACTCCGTTCTATTGGCAAACGTACAATAACTGGAGAACAAACTGGACGAGCTCCGTTCGAGACTATCCTATCAACAGGACCTGAAGAACTGTAATATCCTGTGTTTCTCAGAGTCGAGGCTGAACAAGGCCATGGATAATATACTGTACATCTAGCTGTTTTTTTTATGCATCGTAGACTGAACGGCGGCGTCGGGTAAGGTTAGGGGAGGGGTGTATCTTTTTGTTAACAACAGCTGGTGTGCAGTCTCTAATATTAAGGAAGTCTCAAGATTCTGCTCGCCTGAGTTAGAATTCCTCATGATAAACTGTAGATCATACTATTTACCAAGAGTTTTCATCTATAGTTTTCATAGCTGTCTATTTACCACCACAATCCAACACTGGCTCTACGACCGCACTCAACAAGCTGTATAAGGCAATAAGCAAGAAAAAGCTCATCCAGAGGCAGTGCTCCTAGTGACTGGTGATTATAATGCAGGGAAACTGAAATCTGTTTTAACTCATTTCTACCAGCATGTCACCTGTGCAACTAGAGGACACAAAACTCTAGATTACCTTTACTCCACACACAGAAATACATACAAAGCTTTCCCTTCGCCCTCCATTTGGCAAAAAACTCAAACAGGAAGTACCAGTGATGCGCTCAATACGGAAGTGGTCCGATGAAGCGGATGCTAAGCTACAGGACTGTTTTGCTAGCACAGACTGGAATATGTTCCGGGATTCATCCGATGGTATTGAGGATTTTACCAAATCAGTCACTGGCTTCATTAATAAGTTCCTTGACGACGTCATCCCCACGTTGATCGTACGTACATATCCCAACCAGAACCTATGGATTACAGGCAACATCTGCACTGAGCTTAAGGCTAGAGCTGCCACTTTCAAGGAGGGGGACACTAATCTGGACGCTTATAAGAAATCCCGCAACCACCTCCGACGAGCCATCAAACAGTCAAAACGTCAATATAGGACTAAGATCGAATCCTACTACGCTGGCTCTGATGCTCGTGCAGGGATTACAAAGTGAAACCCAGCCGCGAGCTGCCCAGTGACACGAGCCTACCAGATGAGCTAAATGCCCTTTATGATCGCTTCGAGGCAAGCAACACTGAACCATGCATGAGAGCACCAGCTGTGTGATCCCGCTCTCCGTAGCTGATGTGAGTAAGACCTTTAAACAGGTTAACATTAATAGATGGATTACCAGGACACATACTCAGAGCATACACTGACCAGCTGGCAAGTGCCTTCACTGCCATTTTCAACTTCTCCCTTACCCAGTCTGTAATACCTACATGTTTCAAGCAGACCACCATAGTCCCTGTGCCCAAGAATGCCAAGGTAACCTGTCTAAATGATTATCTCCCCATAGCACTCACATATGTAGCCATGAAATGCTGGTCATGGCTCACATCAACAACATCATCCCAGACAACCTGGACCCACTCCAATTCGCATACCACCCCAACAAATCCACAGATGATGAAATATAAATTGCACTCCACACTGCCCTCTCCCACCTGGACAAGAGGAACACCTACTGTATGTGAGAATGCTGTTCATTAACTACATGAGAATGCTGTTCATTGACCACAGCTCAGCGTTCAACACCATAGTGCCCTCCAAGCTCATCACTAAGCTAAGGACCCTGGGACTGAACATCTTCCTCTGCAACTGGATCCTGGACTTCCTGACGTGCCGCCCCCAGGTGGTGAGGGTAGGCAACAACACATCTGCCACGCTGACCCTCAACACGGGGGCCCCTCAAGGGTGCATGCTTAGTACCTGTCTGTACTCCCTGTTCACCCACAACTGCGTGACCATGTAAGACTCCAACACCATCATTAAGTTTGCTGATGACACGACGGTGGTAGGCCTGATCACCGACGATGATGAGACAGCCTATAGGGAGGAGGTCAGAGACCTGGCAGTGTGGACGACAGGGCTGTAGTGGAGAGGGTAGAGAGCTTCAAGTTCCTCGGTGTCCACATCACTAAGGATCTATCGTGGTCCACACACACCAACACAGTCATGAAGAGGGCACGGACAATGCCTCTTCCCCCTCAGGAGGCTGAAAAGATTTGGCATGGGCCCTCAGATTCTCAAAAAGTTATACAGCTGTACTATTGAGAGCATCTTGACTGGCTTCATCACCGCTTAGTATGGCAACTGCTCAGCATCCGACCGCAAGGCGCTATAGAGAGTAGTGTGTACAGCCCAGTACCTCTCTGGGGCCGAGCTCCCTACCATACAGGACCTCTATACTAGGCGGTATCAGAGGAAGGCACTAACATTTTTCAAAGACTCCAGCCACCCAAGTCATAGACTATTCTCTCTGCTACTGCACGACAAGCAGTACCGATGCACCAAGTCTGGAACCAACAGGACCCTGAACAGCTTCTACCCCCAAGCCATAAGACTGCTAAATAGTTAGTTAAATAGTTAACCAAATACTGTAGCTACCCAGACTATACAGTGGGGAAAAAAAGTATTTAGTCAGCCACCAATTGTGCAAGTTCTCCCACTTAAAAAGATGAGAGAGGCCTGTAATTTTCATCATAGGTACACGTCAACTATGACAGACAAAATCAGGAAAAAAAATCCAGAAAATCACATTGTAGGATTTTTAATGAATTTATTTGCATATTATGGTGGAAAATAAGTATTTGGTCAATAACAAAAGTTTCTCAATACTTTGTTATATACCCTTTGTTGGCAATGACACAGGTCAAACGTTTTCTGTAAGTCTTCACAAGGTTTTCACACACTGTTGCTGGTATTTTGGCCCATTCCTCCATGCAGATCTCCTCTAGAGCAGTGATGTTTTGGGGCTGTCGCTGGGCAACACGGACTTTCAACTCCCTCCAAAGATTTTCTATGGGGTTGAGATCTGGAGACTGGCTAGGCCACTCCAGGACCTTGAAATGCTTCTTACGAAGCCACTCCTTCGTTGCCCGGGCGGTGTGTTTGGGATCATTGTCATGCTGAAAGACCCAGCCACGTTTCATCTTCAATGCCCTTGCTGATGGAAGGAGGTTTTCACTCAAAATCTCACGATACATGGCCCCATTCATTCTTTCCTTTACACGGATCAGTCGTCCTGGTCCCTTTGCAGAAAAACAGCCCCAAAGCATGATGTTTCCACCCCCATGCTTCACAGTAGGTATGGTGTTCTTTGGATGCAACTCAGCATTCTATGTCCTCCAAACACGACGAGTTGAGTTTTTACCAAAAAGTTATATTTTGGTTTCATCTGACCATATGACATTCTCCCAATCCTCTTCTGGATGTACTCTAGCAAACTTCAGACGGGCCTGGACATGTACTGGCTTAAGCAGGGGGACACGTCTGGCACTGCAGGATTTGAGTCCCTGGCGGCGTAGTGTGTTACTGATGGTAGGCTTTGTTACTTTGGTCCCAGCTCTCTGCAGGTCATTCACTAGGTCGCCCCGTGTGGTTCTGGGATTTTTGCTCACCGTTCTTGTGATCATTTTGACCCCACGGGGTGAGATTTTGCGTGGAGCCCCAGATCGAGGGAGATTATCAGTGGTCTTGTATGTCTTCCATTTCCTAATATTTGCTCCCACAGTTGATTTCTTCAAACCAAGCTGCTTACCTATTGCAGATTCTGTCTTCCCAGCCTGGTGCAGGTCTACAATTTTGTTCCTGGTGTCCTTTGACAGCTCTTTGGTCTTGGCCATAGTGGAGTTTGGAGTGTGACTGTTTGAGGTTGTGGACAGGTGTCTTTTATACTGATAACAAGTTCAAACAGGTGTCATTAATACAGGTAACGACTGGAGGACAGAGGAGCCTCTTAAAGAAGAAGTTACAGGTCTGTGAGAGCCAGAAATCTTGCTTGTTTGTAGGTGACCAAATACTTATTTTCCACCATAATTTGCAAATCAATTCATTAAAAATCCTACAATGTGATCTTCTGGATTTTTTTTTCTCATTTTGTCTGTCATAGTTGACGTGTACCTATGATGAAAACTACAGGCCTCTCTCATCTTTTTAAGTGGGATAACTTGCACAATTGGTGGCTGACTAAATACTTTTTTTCCCCACTGTATGCATTGACCCTTTTTGCACTTACTTTTTTGACTCATCACATAGGCTGATGCTGCTACTGTTTATTATCTATCCTCTTGCCTAGTCACTTTATTCCTAGTTATATGTAAATGGTGCCCTGTGTATATACAGTGTAGCCAAGTTATCATTACTCATTGTGTATGTATTTTTACTTTTGTTATTACTTTTCTAGAATTTTTCTATTTTCTCTCTCTGCATTGTTGGGAAGGGTCCGTAAGCATTTCAATGTTAGTCTACACCTGTTGTTTACGAAGAATGTGACGAACAACATTACATTTTATTTGATGGCTGCCATACTGGTTGGTGCTACAGTACACACTTATGGTGAATGATGCCAGTTACCCTTATGTAAGCATTTTCTGACCTGGTGAAAAGGGATAACACATTACTTCTAAAACATATTTTGTGCTGTGAACCACCAATATTTTGAAAGCTTTGCAGGATTTCATTTCAGCCCTGCGGTAATCAAATCAAATCATATTGTATTTGTCACATACAACAGGTGTAGACTTTACAGTGAATTGCTTACTTACAAGCCCTTAACCAACAATGCAGTTCAAGAAATAGAGTTAAGAAAATATTTACTGAATAAAATAAAGTACAAAATAAAATAAAAAGTTACACAATACAATAACAATAATGAGGCCATATACAGGGGGTACCGGTACCGTGTCAATGTGCGGGGGTACAGTTTAGTCGAGGTAATTTGTAACGTTACATCCAATTCAGTTAACTATGTTCTAATCAAATGTTTTACTGCAGGGCTGGACCAAACGCCTGTAACCCTGTACACCCAGTAGCTCTCCAGGAGCGGAATTGGCAAACCCTGGAGGGAACAGACTAATGTTGGCTCAGCTCCTACCTTTTGGCCCAGTGAGCAGGGCCTCCGTGGCCTTGCCCCCATCCCCACAGTGGGTCTCGTCAAAGGGCAGACAGTGCTCCCCGGTCCCTGCCACCACCTCTGCGTTACTCTGCAGTTCCTTGATCCCCATCAGGACCTTGGGCCGGTAGATCCTCCGTGAGTTGGTGTCGGACACATACAGCTGCCCAGTCACTGGGTCGGTGGCCAGGTAATAGCGGTGAGCAGGGTTGTTACTAGGATTGAGGAAATAATGTGGTTACTGCAATTACTGCAATATGAACAATCTCAAAATAAACGTATTAAAAAGGTGTTTTTACTAACATGAACAATCCGAAAACAATCTACGCTTTACATTTTTTCATTTGTTGAATTTGAACAATCTGAAAATAATCTATTTTGAAGGTGTTTTTCCTAAATAACATAGAAAGAGAATTTGACATTGAGAATGATAATGACCACAGAAAAGGGAGCCTCTGTATCTGTTTGTATCTTTGTCATTGTGAATGCCCAATTAAGCTTGTGTTGTGTGAGGATTTTTGCATAACAAACGGGTGGGGAATAGCTTTGAGAGTCGAGGAAAAGACTCATAGTCAGAGAATTTAACAGGATATGACTGGAGTAGGTTTGCGTATGACAAAGCGGCAGCATCAAGTGTGTCAGATCATTTTAACCGTTATCACTCCCCTGCGAGGGGAAGCCTATGGAAAATATGGAATGAAGTACTTATGTTAATGACAGTCAACAACTGAATGGCATTTCGTCGGGTTGTGCTTATTTGCATTCATTTTAAAACGCCTCAAAATGTGTCGGGCTCCTTCAGAATGAGTTAGGAGAGATGTCTTCAAGGCTTGCTGCTATTATGAAAAAATTATCCAATTCAAGGACAGAATTAACACTTTTCTATGTAGGGCGCTGTATGTCACCAACATACAGCAAGTATAGTAGTATTGACTGTGAATTGTAATCTTTTGTCAAAGGCAATTACATTCAAATTTTTCTACGGCAGTTACCCATAATCCTCTTACATGACTAAATGACACATTGCACATTGACATATCAAAAGGTCAACTCTTTCCAACTGAGGAAGAGATAACACATACACTACCAGTCAAAAGTTTGGACACACCTACTCATTCAAGGGTTTTTCTTTATTTTTTACAATGTTTTACATTGTAGAATAATAGTGAAGACATCAAAACTATGAAATAACACATATGGAATCATGTAGTAACCAAAAATGTGTTAAAGAAATCAAAATATATTTTCTAATTGAGATTCTTAAAATAGCCACCCTTTGCCTTGATGACAGCTTTGCACACTCTTGGCATTCTCTCAACCCGCTTCACCTGGAATGCTTTTCCAACAGTCTTGATATGCTGAGCACTTGTTGGCTGCTTTTCCTTCACTCTGCCGTCTGACTCATCCCAAACCATCTCAATTGGGTTGAGGTCGGGGGATTGTGGAGGCCAGGTCGTCTGATGCAGCACTCCATCACTCTCCTTCTTGGTAAAACAGCCCTTACATAGCCTGGAGGTGTGTTGGGAGAATGCCAAGAGTGTGCAAAGCTGTCATCAAGGCAAAGGGTGGCTATTTGAAGAATCTCAAATATAAAATATATTTTGATTTGTTTAACACTTTTTTGGTTACTACATGATTCCATATGTGTTATTTCATAGTTTTGTTGTCTTCATTATTATTCTACAATGTAGAAAATAGTAGAAATAAAGAAAAACTATTGAATGAGTAGGTGTGTCCAAACTTATGACTGGCACTGTATGTGTGCTCGGAGGCCAATAATAAGCCTGAAACATAAGCTGTTGAATGTGGATAGAACTTGTTTAACGGTCTGGCAATGAAGATAGACCCAGTAAGTGTTCTCATGTTTAATGGTACATTAGTCAATACTGTAAGCCTTTGATACTTATGAATGGAATAATGTGGGTGTGTTAAAATAAATGTGAGAATGCATTCAACACAGTGAAAAAAATGCATGTAACATTACAAAGTGGGGTTATAAAACTGGACACCTTTATGAGCCAAACCAGATTAAATAAGGCCTTAACGGCTTATCAATTTACCATAAAAATATGTTCGTAAAAAAATACATTCATTCTTACCACACAGAAAGACAGTGACAGACCAGCACCATCATACACCTACCTGTGTCTAAAATCTTTATTTCTTAGGGCGGGCAGAAAGGAAGGAAGCAGAAAAGAGAAAGATGGAGAGAGACTGTAAAAGTGTGTGACTTAAAGGTCTAAGAAAAACACCATAAAAAAAGGAGCAGACAATGAAGATTTGTTGAGCAGAAAGGAGGAGGAGAAAAATTAGTTAAACTCTGCACCCATAACTCACAGAGGGGACAATATGTCTTGGAGTTAAACCCTACACCCATAACTCACAGAGGGGACAATATGTCTTGGAGTTAAACCCTACACCAATAACTCACAGAGGGGACAATATGTCTTGGAGTTAAAACCTACACCCATAACTCACCGAGGGGACAATATGTCTTGGAGTTAAACCCTGCACCCATAACTCACAGAGGGGAACAATATGTCTTGGAGTTAAACCCTGCACCCATAACTCACCGAGGGGACAATATGTCTTGGAGTTAAACCCTACACCCATAACTCACCGAGGGGACAATATGTCTTGGAGTTAAACCCTACACCCATAACTCACCGAGGGGACAATATGTCTTGGAGATAAACCCTGCACCCATAACTCACCGAGGGGACAATATGTCTTGGAGTTAAACCCTACACCCATAACTCACCGAGGGGACAATATGTCTTGGAGTTAAACCCTACACCCATAACTCACCGAGGGGACAATATGTCTTGGAGTTAAACCCTACACCCATAACTTTATTTACTTTATTTTATTTTGGCAGTTACCTGTAAATACATAAATAATAAATGTTTTACATCGAGCAATCCAACCATGTTGGCTTAACGCTCTCCATGCACCTATAAGAGAATGTATTCAAACATAATGAACAGGCAAGGCGGTTGAGGATGTTGTGTGATGTGTGGGGATGTCTTCTGAACTGAAGACTGAAGTGCAATAACTGGTGTTTGCAATATGAGGGCCAGGGTCATCAAATTGATTATAAGAAATGGACACCTCAACTGTAGCCTCTTGGTAGACAGATTCCATATGCTTTGTTGTGAGTAGCCCTGGCTGTAAAACAGCGTTCATTCTAATCAACATCTGCTGTTTCAGAGTCTGCCAATTGGCAAAATGAAGCTTATTAGTGATTGAGGCCAACTTGGCAAGTACGCCTAAATCATCTCAATTACATGGCGAAAGACAGGGAGTCTTTCTCTAATCGTAAAGGATATAGAATAGATGCCATATAAAAGTGCATTCGGAAAGTATTCAGACCCCTTTACAATTTCCACATTTTGTTACGTTGCAGCATTATTCTAAAATGGATTAAATTGTTCGTTTACCTCATCAATCTACACCAAATACCCCATAATGACAAAGCAAAAACATGTTTTTAGAAATTTTAGCAAATTTCTTACAAATAAAAAACGGAAATATTACATTTACATAAGTATTCCGACCCTTTACTCAGTACTTTGTTGAAGCACCTTTGACAGCGATTACAGCCTTGAGTCTTTCTGGGTATGACGCTACAAGCTTGGCACACTTGTATTTGGGGAGTTTCTCCCATTCTTCTCTGCAGATCCTCTCAGGCTCTGTCAGGTTGGATGGGGAGTGTCGCTGCACAGTTATTTTCAGGTCTCTCCAGAGATATTTGTTCGGGTTCAAGTCCGGGATCTGGCTAGGCCACTCAAGGTAATTCAGAGACTTGTCCCGAAGCCACTCCTGTGTTGTCTTGGCTGTGTGCTTAGGGTCGTTATCCTGTTGGAAGGTGAACCTTCGCCCCAGTCTGAGGTCCTTAGTGCCCATGGAGCAGGTTTTCATCAAGGATCTCTCTGTACTTTGCTCTGTTCATCTTTCCCCTCGACCCTTACTAGTCTCCCAGTCCCTGCTGCTGAAAAACATCCCCACAGCATGATGCTGCCACCACCATGCTTCACCATAGGGATGGTGCAAGGTTTCCTCCAGATGTGACGCTTTGCATTCAGGCCAAAGTGTTCAATCTGGGTTTCATCAGACCAGAGAATCTTGTTTCTCATGGTCTGAGAGTCCTTTAGGTACCTTTTGGCAAACTCCAAGCGGGCTGTCATGTGCCTTTTACTGAGGAGTGGCTCCCGTCTGGCCACCACCATAAAGGCCTGATTAGTGGAGTGCTGCAGAGATGGTTGTCCTTCTGGAAGGTTCTCCCATCTCCACAGAGGAACTCTGGAGCTCTGTCAGAGTGACCATTGGGTTCTTGGTCACCTCCCTGACCAAGGCCCTCCTCCCCCGATTGCTCAGTTTGGCCGGGCGGCCAGCTCTAGGAGGAGTCTTGGTGGTTCCTAACTTCTTCCATTTAAGAATGATGGAGGCCACTCTGTTCTTGGGGACCTTCAATGCTGCAGAAATGTTTTGGTACCCTTCCCCAGATCTGTGCCTCGACACAATCCTGTCTCGGAGCTCTGCGGACAATTCCTTCGACCTCATGGCCTGGTTTTTGCTCTGACATGCACTGTCAACTGTGGGACCTTATATAGACAGGTGTGTGCCTTTCCAAATCATGTCCAAACGTTGTAGAAACATCTCAAGGATGATCTATGGAAACAGGATGCACCTGAGCTCAATTTCGAGTCTCATAGCAAAAGGTCTGAATACTTATGTAAATAAGGTATTTCTGTTTTTTATTTTTTATAAATTAGCAAAAAATTCTAAAAACCTGTTTTTGCTTTGTCATTATGGGGTATTGTGTGTAGATTGATAAGGAAAAAAAACTAATTTAATCCACATTAGAATAAGGCTGTAAAGTAACAAAATGTGGAAAAAGCCAAGGGGTCTGAATACTTCGAATGAGTGAGTCTGTCCGTTTTCCCGTTCCATCACATTTGATACTGTGCAAGTAGACTAAATGTTGTCTGACCAACCTGTGCATTGTGAAGAAAGTCTCTGAAAACCACTGATTCACAGTAGACCATTACACGTCAGATGTCCACCCCTTCAAGATTATGTAAGATTTGATCATTTTGATCTGCCTCCAGTGGGGCTTGAACTCACAACCTTCTACACAAAAACACATGCTGCTCAAAGCCAACCGTCTTTGCCAACAGAGACTAGTCTGTCACTCTGTGAGAAACATGCTGCTTTGTATGTACTCCAGCCAATATGCTATGGGTGAGTTTCACATCCATGCAACCCACTTTGTCCTAAACACCAACTCCTTTCACTTTTACCTCAGAAGAACTAAAGAAACAATCTCTAAATCGAGGGTCAATAGGTCAACGGCCGTACACAATTACGGAGCCATGCAAAGCCTCAATATCTCAGCTAAAGGGACAAAGGGCCAGAACGAAACAACCATGCAACACCATTACGGTTCCATGCAGAACCTGAACTAACCTGAGCTCCATGACGCTGGTAACGTTGCCCGACGGGTAGATGCGTCTGATGTAGTTGAAATCGCCCACATAGAGGCTGCCGTCGATGCCCCACGCCAGGGCCACGGGCGCCAGCAACTTGTTGCCCATGGCCTGCCCGTTGCAGCTGGGGCACGAGATGCTGCGGCGCCGACCGTTCCCCATCACTGTAGAGATGACGGGAGGCTGCAGCGAGATGAACTGGTTCTCACCGCTGCCTTTGTAGAGGATGCCTGAGAAAACCGAGGAAAAAGATATTGAGAGTAGTTTCTTTGTAATTGATGATTGATGAGAATGATGAGTTCGAACTATGCTAATTTTATAATAATTGTCTCTAAGATTTGTTCAATGCTGTTCAACTTTACAATTTTCCTTGGATACACCTCTAAAATTAGATTTGATTAGTTGGCTAAATAATACATTGTGTAAACCAAATGTCTTGTATAATCATGAGGAATTGTAGACAAACCCGCTGAACTGCCTTGGTGCATAACAATGCCTTATTCATTAGTCATTGCAGAGTGACTACCTACAGTGGGGGAAAAAAGTATTTAGTCAGCCACCAATTGTGCAAGTTCTCCCACTTAAAAAGATGAGAGAGGCCTGTAATTTTCATCATAGGTACACGTCAACTATGACAGACAAAATGGAGAGAAAAAAATCAAGGAAAATCACATTGTAGGATTTTTAATGAATTTATTTGCAAATTATGGTGGAAAATAAGTATTTGGTCAATAACAAAAGTTTCTCAATACTTTGTTATATACCCTTTGTTGGCAATGACACAGGTCAAACGTTTTCTGTAAGTCTTCACAAGGTTTTCACACACTGTTGCTGGTATTTTGGCCCATTCCTCCATGCAGAGCTCCACTAGAGCAGTGATGTTTTGGGGCTGTCGCTGGGCAACACGGACTTTCAACTCCCTCCAAATATTTTCTATGGGGTTGAGATCTGGAGACTGGCTAGGCCACTCCAGGACCTTGAAATGCATCTTACGAAGCCACTCCTTCGTTGCCAGAGCGGTGTGTTTGGGATCATTGTCATGCTGAAAGACCCAGCCACGTTTCATCTTCAATGCCCTTGCTGATGGAAGGAGGTTTTCACTCAAAATCTCACGATACATGGCCCCATTCATTCTTTCCTTTACACGGATCAGTCGTCCTGGTCCCTTTGCAGAAAAACAGCCCCAAAGCATGATGTTTCCACCCCCATGCTTCACAGTAGGTATGGTGTTCTTTGGATGCAACTCAGCATTCTTTGTCCTCCAAACACGACGAGTTGAGTTTTTACCAAAAAGTTATATTTTGGTTTCATCTGACCATATGACATTCTCCCAATCCTCTTCTGGATCATCCAAATGCACTCTAGCAAACTTCAGACTTCAGATTTGAGTCCCTGGCGGCGTAGTGTGTTACTGATGGTAGGCTTTGTTACTTTGGTCCCAGCTCTCTGCAGGTCATTCACTAGGTCCCCCCGTGTGGTTCTGGGATTTTTGCTCACCGTTCTTGTGATCATTTTGGGGTGAGATCTTGCGTGGAGCCCCAGCTCGAGGGAGATTATCAGTGGTCTTGTATGTCTTCCATTTCCTAATAATTGCTCCCACAGTTGATTTCTTCAAACCAAGCTGCTTACCTATTGCAGATTCAGTCTTCCCAGCCTGGTGCAGGTCTACAATTTTGTTTCTGGTGTCCTTTGACAGCTCTTTGGTCTTGGCCATCATGGAGTTTGGAGTGTGACTGTTTGAGGTTGTGGACAGGTGTCTTTTATACTGATAACAAGTTCAAACAGGTGCCATTAATACAGGTAACGAGTGGAGGACAGAGGAGCCTCTTAAAGAAGAAGTGACAGGTCTGTGAGAGCCAGAAATCTTGCTTGTTTGTAGGTGACCAAATACTTATTTTCCACCATAATTTGCAAATAAATTCATTAAAAATCCTACAATGTGATTTTCTGGATTTTTTTTCCTCAATTTGTCTGTCATACTTGACGTGTACCTATGATGAAAATTACAGGCCTCTCTCATCTTTTTAAGTGGGAGAACTTGCACAATTGGTGGCTGACTAAATACTTTTTTTCCCCACTGTATGTTGATATTTCAATGTCTCTTGAATCGTGACATAATTTTCGTGAAGAATCTGTTTAGTGGTATTCGGAAACTCATCAATTAATAGTAACCTCTTAACAGAACATGATGTTCTTTCAATCTCGCCAAGACCCTGTTCCATTTCCTCCCAGTACTCCAAGTCATGGTGAGGAGGGATAGACGAATGCAGCACACAATATACCTCCCAAAAGTAACAGAACTTCAATTGAACTTCATCAGTCATTACAGATAAATATTTGATCGAGGGGCAAATATAACTAGTATTTTTTTTCGGGGGGAGGGATATGGTGGATTAGACTTCAAAAGAAAAAAATAAGAAAAAACATCAAAGTGGTGAATTGCATGCTAGGAGCACTTAATTAATCACACCCTGGCAACGCATTTGAATTTCGACACACACTCTTCCTCATTACCGGATCGATGGCAGCACTGAACGCCCGGTGTAGCACCGCCGGTTCCCTCGACATTACCCCTGCGTGCATAGCCGCCATCTCGATGTATGTTTGTCCCTCTCCGATTAGTTCCTTTCATTGATTAATTAAAAGTGGGGAACTCAAATGAAGACTTTGTCTAGGGAGACTGCTGGCAAGACAATCCCACTGCTCCGTTTCTTTGTAATGGAAATGCAAATGTTTGGCTAACAAAGATTAATGGGTTTGGGGGACGGCATTGTGCGTGACGCCATCAAACGCACGACCTTGGGGATTTAATTGCACTGCAATCCATCTGTCTGCTCAGCTACGGAGACATGCTATGTGAGTGATCTAACGCTGAACTAGGGCTGACTCGAAAGCAAGTATTCCCGATGGCCTTATTGCAAAGTAATAACCAAGTAATTATGGAATAACAAGCACAAGATGTCACACGTTACCTTCACTATCATAATTCTGAATTTACCCTAATTACCGCAAGTCCCAATGAGAGTACCTTTTTTACATACAGAAAGTCTAATGTAATTAATTAAATACACACATACATTTCCCCCACCTTCTCTCTAGCACACACATTAACGCTCCCACCCACTTTACAGTCCCACTCTCTCTGACAGAGTCCGTCTGACAGAGCTACAATATGTCACTGTACCCAGGCTAAGGCCACTGAAGATCTAAACATGTTTATAGCGCTCGACAGCCTTGCTTTAACAGAGGGCATATAGCCACTTTGCAGCAGAGAGAGGGGGAGGAAAGGAGGGAGGGAGAAGGGGGGAAGAGGTGTAGAGGGAGCATAGCTACAGCACAGGCCTTATCTAGTTAGACAGGCCCCAGAGGGGAGCGAGCGAGAGAGAGACTGTTAAGAGTCCTCGCCAGAGGAGAAGAGGAAAACTCTTAACTACATCACAGTAGACTCCTCAGACAGGGAAGGCAAGGGGACAATGGAGACAGTCACCAGGAGAAGGACTGATACCATATAGTTGCATCTGAAGTCACCAGGAGAAGGACTGATACCTTATTGCCACGTCTGGAGTCACCAGGAGAACAACAGATACCATATAGCTACGTCGGAGTCACCAGAAGAAGGGCTGATACCATATCGCTACGTCTGGAGTCACCAGGAGGAGAAGGACTGATACCATATAGCTACATCTGGAGTCACCAAGAGGAGAAGGAATGATACCATATCGCTACGTTTGGAGTCACCAGGAGAAGGACTGATACCATATACAGTGAGGGAAAAAAGTATTTGATCCCCTGCTGATTTTGTACGTTTGCCCACTGACAAAGACATGATCAGTCTATAATGTTAATGGTAGGTTTATTTGAACAGTGAGAGACAGAATAACAACATAAAAATCCAGAAAAATGCATGTCAAAAATGTTATAAATTGATTTGCATTTTAATGAGGGAAATAAGTATTTGACCCCTCTGCAAAAATGACTTAGTGGCAAAACCCTTGTTGGCAATCACAGAGGTCAGACGTTTCTTGTAGTTGGCCACCAGGTTTGCACACATCTCAGGAGGGATTTTGACCCACTCCTCTTTGCAGATCTTCTCCAAGTCATTAAGGTTTCGAGGCTGATGTTTGGCAACTCGAACCTTCAGCTACCTCCACAGATTTTCTATGCGATTAAGGACTGGAGACTGGCTAGGCCACTCCAGGACCTTAATGTGCTTCTTCTTGGGCCACTCCTTTGTTGCCTTGGCCATGTGTTTTGAGTCATTGTCCTGCTGGAATACCCATCCACGACCCATTTTCAATGCCCTGGCTGAGGGAAGGAGGTTCTCACCCAAGATTTGACGGTACATGGCCCCGTCCATCGTCCCTTTGATGCGGTGAAGTTGTCCTGTCCCCTTAGCAGAAAAACACCCCCAAAGCATAATGTTTCCACCTCCATATTTGACGGTGGGGATGGTGTTCTTGGGATCATAGGCAGCATTCCTCCTCCTCCAACACGGCGAGTTGAGTTGATGCCAAAGAGCTCGATTTTGGTCTCATCTGACCACAACACTTTCACCCAGTTCTCCTCTGAATCATTCAGATGTTCATTGGCAAACTTCAGACGGGCTTGTATATGTGCTTTCTTGAGCAGGGGGACCTTGCGGGCGCTGCAGAATTTCAGTCCTTCACGGCGTAGTGTGTTACCAATTGTTTTCTTGGTGACTATGGTCCCAGCTGCCTTGAGATCTTTGACAAGATCCTCCCGTGTATTTCTGGGCTGATTCCTCACTGTTCTCATGATCATTGCAACTCCACAAGGTGAGATCTTGCATGGAGCCCCAGGCCGAGGGAGTTTGACAGTTATTTTGTGTTTCTTCCATTTGCGAATAATCGCACCAACTGTTGTCACATTCTCGCCAAGCTGCTTGGCGATGGTCTTGTAGCCCATTCCAGCCTTGTGTAGGTCTACAATCTTGTCCCTGACATCCTTGGAGAGCTCTTTGGTCTTGGCCATGGTGGAGAGTTCGGAATCTGATTGATTGATTGCTTCTGTGGACAGGTGTCTTTTATACAGGTAACAAGCTGAGATTAGGAGCACTCCCTTTAATAGTGTGCTCCTAATCTCAGCTCGTTACCTGTATAAAAGACACCTGGGAGCCAGAAATCTTTCTGATTGAGAGGGGGTCAAATTCTTATTTCCCTCTTTAAAATGCAAATCAATTTATAACATTTTTGACATGCATTTTTCTGGATGTTTTTGTTGTTATTCTGTCTCTCACTGTTCAAATAAACCTACCATTAAAATTATAGACTGATAATTTCTTTGTCAATGGACAAACGTACAACATCAGCGGGGGATCAAATACTTTTTTCCCTCACTGTATAATGTAGCTTCATCAGGAGTGTGACTGTAGTGGATTACAACTTGTATGTTTTATCAAAGAAGATTACATGTACAGCATTAGGGAAGCAATACATGGCTAGTTGTGAAAATAAACTTGTGATATTTATTAATCAGACTGAATTTGTTAAGGGCCTCTACCTGCAACCAGACACTACACTTGACACATTTATGAAATTGCTTATTCCAGTTACTAATAAGCATGCACCCAATCCCTGTGGATTGATAAGGAATTGAAAAATGGTATGGTTGCGAGGGATGAGGCAAAAGAAATGGCAAAATAGTCTGGCTGCACAACAGATTGGCAAACGTACTGCAAATTGAGAAATCATGTGACTAAACTGAATAAAAAGAAGAAGAAACTACACTATGAAACAAAGATAAATTACAAAGAATGATAGTAAAAAGCTTTGGAGCACCTTCAATTAAATTTTGGGCAAAAAGGCAAACTCAGCTCCATCATTTATTGAATCAGATGGCACATTCATCACAAAATCCACTGATTTTGCCAACTACTTTAATGATTTTTTCATTGGCAAGATTTTCTAACTTAGGCATGACAGCAACAAACGCTGACATACAAGTATAACTGATCAAATTATGAAATACAAGCCTTGTAATTGTAAAGTGAAAAGATGATTGTTGTCTATCAACAATGACAAGCCACTGGGGTCTGACAACTTGGATGGAAAATTACTGCGATAATAGCAGACGATATTGCCACTCCTATTTGCCATATCTTCAATCTAAGCCTACTAGAAAGTGTGTGCCCACAGGCCTGGAGGGAAGCAAAAGTAATTCTGCTACCCAAGAACAGTAAAGCCCCCTTTACTGGCTCAAATAGCCGACCAATCAGCCTTAGTAAACTTTTGAAAAAAATTATGTTTGACCAGATACAATCCTATTTTACTGTAAACAAATTGACAACAGACTTTCAGCACGCTTATAGGAAAGGCCATTCAACAAGCATGGCACTTACACAAATGACTGATGATTGGCTGAGAGAAATTGATGATACAAAGACTGTGGGAGCTGTTTTGTTAGACATCAGTGCAGCTTTTGACATTATCGATCATAGTCTGCTGATGGAAAAACGTATGTATTATGGCTTTACACCCCCTGCTATATTGTGGATAAAGACTTACCTGTCTAACAGAACACAGGGGGTGGTCTTTAATGGAAGCCTCTCCAACATAATCCAGGTAGAATCAGGAATTCCCAGGGCAGCTGTCTAGGCCCCTTACCTTTTTTCAATCTTTACTAATGACATGCCACTGGCCGTGAGTAAAGCCAGTGTGTCTATGTATGCGGATGACTCAACACGGTACACGTCAGCTACTACAGCGAGTGAAATCACTGCAACAATTAACAAAGAGTTTCAGCTAGTTTCAGAATGGGTGGCAAGGAAAAAGTTAGTCCTAAATTTTTTAGACAAATCATTCACTAAACCCTAAACCTCAACTAAATCTTGTAATAAATAATGTGGAAATTGAGCAAGTTGAGGTGACTAAACTGCTTGGAGTAACCCTGGATTGTAAACTGTCATGGTCAAAACATGTTAATACAACAGTAGCTGATATGGGGAGAAGTCTGTCCATAATATAGCGCTGCTCTGCCTTTTTAACAACTATATCAACAAGGCAGGTCCTACAGGCTCTAGGTTTGTCGCACCTGGACTACTATTCAGTCGTGTGATCAGGTGCCACAAAGAGGGACCTCTGAAAATTACAATTGGCTCGGAACAGGGCAGCCCCGCTGGCCCTTAAATGTACACAGAGAGCTAACATTAATAATATGCATGTAAATCTCTCATGGCTCAAAGTGGAGGAGAGATTGACTTCATCACTACTTGTTTTTGTAAGAAGTGTTGACAAGCTGAATGCACCGAGCTGTCTGTTTAAACTACTAGCACACAGCTCGGACACCCATGCATATCCCACAAGACATGCCACCAAAGGTCTCTTCACAAGCCCCAAGTCAAGAACAGACTATGGGAGGTACATAGTACTACATAGAGCGCCATGGCTACATGGAACTCTATTCCATATCAGGTAACTGATGCAAGAAGTAGAATCCGATTTTTAAAAACAAATAATAATACACCTTATGAAACAGCGGGGACTGTAAAGAGACACACAAAGGCATAGACACACATACACATGATAAGACAAGCACTCTACACACACGTACACATGGATGTTGTATTGTAAATA